CAGCCACACCCACCCAGTTTATTTATTTTGGCGATGGAAGGGAGACAATCCTGTGTTTACCAACATGCCATGTTAGCAACAGGAGTTGACGTAAAAAAAATCTGGCTACACTTTCCCTGCCAACCAGGTAGATACTAAATATAAAACTATTCCAGCCAACCCTCCCAGTTTTCAATGTTCGTTTATTTTATCAGTAGGAGTACATTTATATCAAACATCAAAATATCGAGCTGTATTCCAGCCACACCCACCCAGTTTTTTAAAAATTTCCCTTTATTTCATCAGTAGGACTACATTAATATCCAAAATTTAAAAAAAGGGTTATATTCAGAGTTTCTTCCAGGCATCTCTTCGGGGCCGAAATTTTTTTACCGCCCCCCCCCCCCCCCCCCGAACGAAATGAAATTTATATAATTTATATAGAAAATATATACTTTTAACAGTGTCCGCCCCCCCCCCCCCCGGAGAAAAAAGTCTGGAAGAAACACTGGTTATATTTCAATTTTTCATCCCCCCCCCCCCCACCACCAGAATGTATTGTTATAGTTCATTTTCAGTTATCAAGCCTACAATATTTTCTTTCTCTAATTACGTGGATAATTTAGCATCTTGAAAATTTAGGATGTGGATAATTTAGCATCTTGAGAATTTAGGATACAACACAGTACAGGAATATAAAATAAATACCAAACAAAATACTAGGATTTTAAAAAATTAGAATTATTTATTAGTATACTTTTATAAGCCTAAAATGAACTAAAACAGTTATCAGGAACATTATATAGAGCATGAAATGTCGAACCAATTATTTAGCATTGACGGAGAATATCATCGCATGCCACATGATATAAAATAAAACAGCTACCATTAGACAAGTAGGACATGAGATAAAAATTTATCTGGATAAAAAAAAGCACTCACACCTTCTGTGCCAACTTTTAAACACATAAGGGGATGTACTCAGCCTTATATCAAGTACCATTTGCTTCAACATCACACTATGTCACCTGGTCATGTTTTTTAAAACAAGTAAAAAAAAATATAAAAAGTATAAGAGAATTTACATTAAAAAATATGGTTGAATAACAAATACATAAAGCATGCGAGCAGTAACATATGTAATGATAATAATTATAATAACATACAACAGAAGGATTTTACAAGGGAGATCACTCACAATTCTTACTCACATTTCAACCCACTGAACACATTATAACAACTAGTAACACTAGTTTGATTAGGAAAGACAACAAATGTGTAAAGCCTATCATTAACCAGCCAACTAGAAAGTCATAACAATCAGATCTTAGAGACATTAGAAAATTGAGCAGTGGTACTATTAGCTGAAAATGCTGTGCTAAAGTTTTCAGCAGATTTTTAAATTTTTTGTTGAAGCTGAGTTAGAAAGCCCAGTGAGATGATGTAATGTTTTAACAAAGCCATGGATGTTGATCAGTAAATTAGAAATTTAGAATTTAGTGATTTAAAAAAAAAATTGTGACAGATGACTCTTTTAATAGATGGCTTCAAACTTTAATGAAAAAGTGTTTGTGTGTGGGTCGTCAGGCACACAGAGAAACACTTTTCTTGAGCTTGATTTACAAAGGTAAATTCCATCAGTTAAAAACACTCATCAGATCACCTACTATTTGACTATTTAACTTGAACTCATTCATGTCATTTAAGAGATTTCTTTAAAAAAAAATGTAATACAGAATTAAACAGATTCTGTAGCAGTAATTAGGAACCGGAAATAAAATAATACTCTTTAAAAAGATAACTGATAAAAAGATATACATTTTTAAAATCCTGTATAGAGATTTAACTGACCACCTAAAAATGGAAACATTTTCCTGTGCCAATGTGTGTACAGCCAAAATCTTTCAAGGGTTTTTCAGGTGGGAAGTTTGTTTTTAAAGTTTGCTTTTATCAACAGTTCAACAATTATGTTCTATTCAAAGAGAAAAAAAACAGAATATCTTAACAAATTCTGAAAAAATATCAGTTAAAAAACTTTTTATACAAAAGCTGCAATAAAATGAGTGTTTTATACCTTTCTGCTAATACCTTTTCGTATTCAAGAGGGTCCTGAACTCACTCAACTAAGATCAATTGCTGTAAAGAATACAATTTTAAGCTAAATTCACCAAGACTGATCTCGAACAACTATGTTTAAAAACTGTAAAAAAAAAAAAACTCAGATTAATTAAAATTTTCAGAAAAATGTAAAAAAAAATATATAATTATTAACAGTACTGTAAACTATAGAATCTAATACCACAGATTTATAGAGAGACAATATCAACAACATGACGACTGATGTATTAAGGCACAAGAGACAACCACTGCATAGTATTTATAACACCCATTGCACATAATGTGGTTTATATCGTCTATAAACATTTACCCCAGTTTACAACAAATTATACAGTAACTTTCATTCAGCCGGTACACAATCAGATCAAGCTTATAAACAAGAGATAAAATTATTCCTCTTGCTTAGCTTTAAAAATGTAACAAAGCAAGCTTGTTTTTCACAATTGTGATTAGTTTAAAAAATAGAGATGTCGAGCTATAAACAACCTGAGAAGTCATCAATATAGTTATTAAAAGTAAGTAGCAGTAATATTTTACAAATTGAAACTGTAAAAAAAAAAACCACAAAAAAGACAACACCTAAAATTGTTTACAGATGTAGTAAAAACAATTTTTTTTTTAAATAGAAAAAGTTAATATCAATGATTATCAACAAAGTTAATAAGTTAGTAGTCAATTATTCATTGACATATAATGATCTTATTTTGATCTACTGAGATATCAAAATCAATGATCACCTACACTTTCATTACAATATCAATTGCTTTTGTTTTTAGTAAAGGGTTTAATTTAGATAAATATGAGTTAATCATTAATTCTTTAAACCAACATTTTTTGAAAAACTTGAAATAGTTTTATATTAGAAGTTAAATGATTAATTAAACAAATTAATCAGTTAATCTTTTTAAAAAATTACTTAAGCTTCACACATTTTTCAACTTAAAAATTAGCAGAGTAAGTACATGTAGGCTACATGAAAATATCACTACTTTTTGACACATACTAAAAACAAATAGGCTTGTGTCATACAACTAAACAAGAATGATTTGAATCTTCCAAACTTATCTACAGAATGTGATCTATTTTTAAAAATTATCTGTATGCAACATAAACTTTTGCAGCTTGGTAAAATAGTATAAGAAGTACTCACACACCATAAAAATGTTATGTATTAATTACAGTGGCAGTTAAACCTTTTGATTATAAAAATAATTAATCCTTTAGTAGATTTAGCAAAGATTTTTAAAAATTGCATAATCAATGCATAAGTTTAGAAATACTTACTTGCATAAACATATACCCTTATTTTAAACTGTGTTGACAATTGTATAATTTACGTTTTTTATGATCTGGACAATAATTCATTTTTATGTCTTAATATTGTAACATCATAAAACCAATTTTTGCATTTTAATTACAAACCTAACAACTGTTATCATCACTAAAAAAATGTGAATTTAAAAATTTGACAATAACAAACTTAGTAAGTTGCCAAAATTCAAACCTATGTTAAAAAATTTGAATTATGTAACTGGAGGTACTGAAAGGTAAGCTTTTAATTTTAAATAAACATTGACAATTTCTATGATTTCAAAACACTAAACTATGTACACATTTACATATTTTTGCCTTGTTTGCCCAAGGAAATTTAATGAGACTTCTTTAGCTTCTTTGGAAAAAAAAGAAAGCTAATGCAATAAAACTGAATTATAAAAATTCAATGTACAATAATTGAATTCTACCCAACAAATATTCTAACTTATAATTTATGTTACAGATCACATACTGAGAAGACAACAACTTAAAAAAAATTCTCATGAAAGCTCCATGTCACTAACAGTAAATTTTTTCTGAAAAAAGATTAGCAGTAATTTAAAGAAATGCTAAAAAGCCATCACATATTACACTGCAGTAAGAAATAAAACAGAGCAGGGATGAGAAAGATGGGGTCCCAACACAACAAGATGGAAAACACAGTGGTAAATCATACTTGGTACAACAGTTGAACTACCGGCAGAAAGCTTACTTTAAGTAAGTTAAAAAATCACATCTCTTTAGAGATAACTAACAGCAACACTTAAGACTCAGAGATAATAAATTTATGTTCTTAACACAAGCATTAGGTAAAGTTTTAAAAATCACATCTCTTTAGAGATAACTAACAGCAACACTTAAAACTCAGATATTTATGCTCTTAACATAACATTAAAATGTATTTTTTAAAAATCTAAAATAAAACCCAGCTATTCTCAGATACACTGAAGCAACTTATAATCTTACATTTTTTAAAAACATTAATTAAAACAGCATAACAAAAAATGCATGTGAGCGAAAGCTTAAGCCTAGCAAAGATAAAACTGCTTCCAAGTTATGAAAAAAGAAATAGTCCCCATATACAAACATTAGTATATTTAGTCTATTTAATAAATACATATCTTAAAGTGAAGAAATATTAATTTTAAAAATTAATAATATAGAAAAACTATTTTTATTTAATCCGTAAATCTACTAAAATTTGGTTAATTATTTTTGGCCATTTCTTTAGTATAACATTAACTAACAGTTTTGGCATCAAACAAATAACATTCTTTATAATGTTTATGGTAATCTAATTATCTATTTATTTTAAGTGAATTTTGTAAAAAAGATGTGTAAAATTAGCTGTAACAGTAAATAAAACATTGATTGTACTTGAAATCAACAAACTATTTAAATGCAGCATGCAAATTTAACATTGTATAGTTAAACAGTTTTTAAAAGTAATTAACATAATTGTCATGAACAAAGTTGAAATAAATAGTATATTTCAAAATACAGTATTTACAAATATTATTGTATTATTTCAAATATTCTTGTTAAGACAGCATCTATAGAATTATTAATAGCATCTGACATGCAAAGGTTTTTAGAAAAGTAATATGTTTGTGATTATAGCTTATTGAAGATAAATACTTTTAAATTTTAACAGTTAAAATTCATTTTGAGTATTGAAAAAGCAACTGAATATATTAAAAAATAAAAATTGTTTTGTCTCGTTTAAGAGTTAAATTTTTTTAAAGTTCCATGTTATAATAGAACTGAAAACAAAGGTCTTCCATTTCTGGCTTGTTGTGGTTGCTGAGCCCCTTGGTGAAGCTGTTGTTGCTGTTGTTGTTGAAGCTGTTGTTGCTGCTGTGATTCTATATTCTGCTGTAGTTGATGCTGCTGCTGTCTCCTCTGGTGCAGCTGAACCCCCAGCCTCGGCTGCTGGGGCTGCAAAGGATAATGCTGCACAAGATGGTTTTGTCGCAGGGCCAGCGACTGAGACATTTGCTGGTTAACAAGATAAGATCTTAGAGACAGAGGATGAGCAGAGTCGGAATTTTCACTTCTGCTCTGCCCGTCAAGCGAAGGTGCGAGCGCCGATATCCCATGACTGATACCACTGCGACCGACAGATAATGGCATACTCGAGGGTCTCCCACTTCGTGAAGATGCTTCTACTGCTCTTCTAGACAAATGAGAGTTCTGTATTTCTTCTCGTCGTGTTTGCAGCAAAGACTGGTTGCCTCCCATTCTGTGAGAATGCCAGCGAGACGAGAGATTGCTGGTGGCCTGTGTGCTAGCTTCTCTCACAGAAGATGTCAAGTTGTTGCTGTTATTAACTTTTGAGTTGGGTGTTGTATCTGTAGGATTGCTTGCAGCAGAAGGTTTTGATTGAGGTGCAGCTGCTTCAGCATCCTCAGGAGAGTTTGATGCTGAAGCTTCTGTTGTAGAAGATAGTGAGTTTAAAATGGATAACGGGTAAACTCTCGGAGACAATTTGGAAGACGTGCTTTCTTGAGAAGACAATTTTGAAATGTTTGTCTTTGATTCGGCAAATGGGATTGTTTTGGGAGGTAATACTTTTTCATGCTCGTTTGAAACACTTTCAGAGTGATTATAAGATAAAGGCAGTGGTATATTTTTCCAAGAAAGATTTAAACTATCTCTGGTTTTATGTGTGGTCTCCTTGGGTCTTGTTGATTTTGGTACAGCTCCTTGTTCTAGATAATTGATGGGATGACCAGAGCAAGTCTGAAGTTCATTACTGTACGCTGGAGGAGAACAGCCACCTGGCTTGTGCTTCGACGTCAAGTTATTACTGGAAGCTAATTTTTCATTGGACTGCTGCGGTGATCTACTTTGGTGGGAAGGTGAACAAATGCTATGGGAAGCCAGGCCAGAGGCAACAGCACCTACGGGTCTAAAAGCTGAAAGGGTGGACCCGAAGTTGGTTTGCGGAGAATGTGGGGAAGTATTTTGGGTGGGAGAAGATCGGGAAATAATCTGAACAGATACTTTACGAGATGGACCTGAGATATTATTGCTGGTTTTCTTGCCGTTTTGTTGCAGAGATGAAACTGGACTTGAAGTTGCCAAATTTGATGGTGATGACTTGGACAAAAAATTCATACCTGTTTCATTCTGTGACTGCCCTAAGCATTTTACATTTTCATAACAGGGTCCATTTTCATAAAAATTTTCATTGACAACATGGTGCTCTTCCCCTTCAGCTCCCTGAACTGACTCAGGGCTTTCTCCTGTTATAGCACAAACCTCAGGTGATACAGAGAGCAAGTGTTCATAATCTCCTAACTCATCTATAGACTGTGTATTAACATAACTGAGAACAGGTCTGTTTGATCTATTTGAATCTTTTCTAACTATCATAGCACCTGCACCTCTGCTTGTGTTAAAATCAGAGCTTCTCTGGGATGACCCGTGCTGGGAACGATTTTGACTACTAGAAGTTTGCGATGAACTAGGCAGCTGAGACTGCACGATTAAAGGCTGTTGATTATCACTTCGACTGACCCTTATTTCAACCATCGGCACACTCTCAGCACCTTCATCGCCAAAATCACCAGCATTATAGCTATGAGCATCAGTACTGGATGAGTTCTCTGTATCAGACTCATCACCACTATCAGAGCCATTTGCCCCTTCCAGCTGATCCCTTGACTCCACCACCTCATATGGAGGCAACTCTTCTTCATCAAACTCAGTGGGAAGACGTACCTTTGGAGATTCAGATGTTGCAACTCTGGACGTCTGCACCAGCAGTAAAGAATGTGTACAGGCCCTGTTGTTACTACCAGACCCCTGTCGCAGTGGGATAATGTTGAGCCTGTCAACCTCTTTGTTATCAGGTCTAACTTCTCTTGCTTGACTGGAGTTTCTGTTACTTGTTATTCTTCTGTCTGGGTAGAACTTCACTCCACCAACAGACAGTATATTATTATTATTATTACTACTTAATTCATGACTGTATCTATGCCTGCGATTATTTGAATGGAGTTGATCTGAAGCAGTGCGACGATGGGATCTACGATATTCTATCTGAACGCGATTTACATCTGCATTATCTGAATGTCTTCTAGATACAGCTTCATTTTGAAGTAGTGAGCGGCTGGTGCCTGATCTCAAACTACTAGTGTTTGGCGCACCACCGCGGAGTGAGTTACTTGTTCTGAATGAACCTTCAGACATATTCCTATGGTGGCGCCTGTGCTTAGGCTTATCATGGTGCTCAAAGAATATATATTTGCAACACACAATTAGGGCCAATACATTACCAGATAAACAGAATACTGAAATCACCAACAGTGAAGCATGAACTAGGTTTGAAGTTCTTTTGTTATATTCTGAAGGATCAATACGGCCATAAAATCCACTACTAAGTGTCAAACCACCAGCTGACAGTATAAGCATCGTTAGAGAGGTAAAAGTACCAATTAACGAGCAGGTGCAGAAAGTTTTGACACTGGCCAGTGATTTGAGCCTTGATACAAACACCGCTGTCAATCCAGATGCCAATATTGTTGCTCCGCCCCACATGCCAGTTCCCACATAATGTCCCCATGATTGGGTAACAAAAGCTATGATGGAAATGATCATGCTGGCTAGACCCAGAAAGAAGAGAATTATTCCCAGAACAAAAACTCTTGTAAAGGGAAAGTTGGTGTGCATTTTCCAGTGTAGAGACATTTTTGAAACGAAAACTTTAATTGGAACCACTTCACATCTTTGTAGAATTATTGTGATCACATATTTCCAACAGGTCAGAAGCAGCAAAATCGATGGCTAAGTAAGCAACCCCATTGCATCAGTTGTGAGCATCTTTCTTCTTGTACTTTTTTGGCCTAAATTAAAAAAAGAATTGTGTTAGACCTTTTAGTTAACAGGGATGAGGTTAAGAGACATGAGAAATCAACCAAGAAAAAGAGATTTAAATAATTTTGGAAGGCAAAATGAAAATGACTAGATAATCCTATTTTAGAAATAGTTTTAATAGACGGTCTATTCAGAAGTCTAATGTTTATAGCCAATAATATGAGCGACATTTTAAAATGCTTGAGTGAAAAAGATCTAGTCGCATATGTACTTACTACAATGTCCACAATGAAAAGTGGTGTTTATTTAAAATACTGGCAGGACGATAAGACATGGTATAAAAGTTTATTTCTGTCTTAGTAATTCATTAAGCCTACTAAAAGATATTCAGCACAACTGACTAAATATACCCTGACTAATTCAAAGCTCATTTAATGGATAGTGGTTCAAAAGCAATTCCATTAGGGCAATAATACAATAGAATCTCATTTTGTTTGTTTTATTCACTACCATTCAGGTTTTCCAAACAGTATCAGGAACTTAATTACTTAATCAGGAACAAAATTAGCCAATTTTTTTAAAAATACCTTTTTTTAATGTTATATCATTTAATGTAGGAAGCACACAAACCACAGATTACACATTTTACAGGCCTATCCCAGATATTATTTACCCTTTTAGTCAAAGGCATGGTGTTAAACTAGATCAAGCAAAGTACATTAAAAATTATTCTCCTCATAAAAATAGAATAAAAAGTTGTAGATTGTTAACTTGGTCACCACCCTCCACCCAATACAGTGACACCAATTTTGAGTATGAAGATGTTTGTTTCCAGTTTAAATATTGTTACCTGCTTACTCTTTTGAGTATCAGCATAAGGGTTCATTTATAATTATTAATCTGACATCTAGAGGGGTTCTGACCTTCCTAGCTTTATGACCAATGCACAAGTATGGTTTATTAAAATGCACAATCTCACTGAGCTCATTGTATTTGCCCAGTACTGGCTTATTTTATTATAATGTACAGACTAATAAGAGATCAATTTCTTCCTTTTGCAACTGAGAAATTTAATTCAAGAGGATGCTTTTATTTTAGCCTGACTAGATATACAGCCATGCAAATTTACAGTTTCAAATAAATAATAATATGCTAGGCAAAACACTCACATGTGTTTTAAGATCCTATGTCACAGGGAGTGACCAGAATCTTATCAATACAGACCATGTTAAGTTTTTCCACTTATTATTATTCCCATTTTTTAAAAATAAAATCAAAATCCTCAGTAGCCTTGGTTTAATTAGCTAATTATTTGTGTTATTGGTCTAGTCGTGGGAATAGCATGGTCAGGCTAGAGAGTGTATGAGACAAAGTCATTAGTTTCGGACCTTGAGCATATGAAGCTAGTTTGCTGGGGTTAGCAACCCATTAGGACACAAATCTCCAAATATATAAAAACTACAGCTTTGCAGATTGCTCTTGGATGGATAAAGGCTATGGAAGCAAACCCAGAAAAAAAGTAGCTTTGAAGTCATATCTGTGGTGCTTAATGTTAACACGTATAATTACGCTTGGAGGAAATCCTTTCCAACATTACAATTACGAATGAAGACGAAGGAAGGTCTAGTCCTATTAAAATTTAAAAATTGTCAACAACAATAATGATTGGGTCCCTCACAATTAATTAGGCTATGGCAATTAGACTATTAGGCTCAGTGTAAGTAAGAATGTGATAAAATATTATATTACTAAGAGAAATATCTGACTATAGGCCTACAAGTAAGGGATGGTGTGGCTTAGTGGTAGAGCGTTAGACTGCTAACCCAAAAGTTCAAATCTGGGCTCTAGTCAGTATAACTCCCCTAAGTCCACCCAGCTCTGGTGGGTATCTAACTCACATTAGGGAAAGTAAAGGCAGCTGGGCAGAGTGCTGACCACACCACCCCTTCATATGCCAAGGTCCCTGAAACATATAACTCTACTTCTGCCCCATGTGTCTTTGGCATGAATAGGAAAAGATGTACTTAATACCTGAAACAAACTTAAGTCACAAATATATGTGGATGATTAAAAATACTGATGTCTGATAAGACTCCTCTGAAAATAGATGTGTTATGTTGCTATCATGTATTAATGGTAACAAATACCATTAAATTGAATAGGCCCCTATAGTTTGTTTTATGTCCGACTCAACTTCAATTTACAGTTATCAATTTATGAGTGTAAAATCAGCCAAAGCTAGTACATGAGAGAAAGTTGACTATTACATTTTTAAAATTATTCGACAATTTTACAGTTTTTTTTTTAAAGTTACTAAAATGTTTCAAATCATGCTCTCAAACACGGGTGTGGGGAAATTGCGAGACGCGAAAAGCGAAATGGCGAGGCGGGAAAATGCGAGAAGGTAATGCGAGACATACCTGCGGAATTAAGGGTAAATAGCGAGACACTTTTTGCGAAAAAAGTTTTTTCCTTTTTTTTTTCCATCTTTATTTATTTTAATTATAGATAGATAGATCTAGATATAGATCTATCTATTTAAAAATCCTAACATCGTTGCTGTGCTACTGTCATCGCCCGCCCTTGTTAGCGAGAGGAAAATCCCGTCTCAGTCGGCATTAATTTAAAAATCTAGCCCGCTCATGTTTATACAAACGTGAGCTGTGTCATTGTGAATTGGTATAATCTTGTCAGCAGGAGAGATATTTTGCAACATCTATTTATGGATTTTTGTACTTGCAAAAAGTGTAAAAGTATAAACAATTCTAAAAAGTGCAATTTATTTTTTTATTAAGTAATTTTAATTACAAACAAAATTTACAAACAAAATCTTCTGAAACAGTCCTCAAACACACCTCGTGACACCATCTTTCACACATAGTACACCCAACCCAGTTCATTAGACTCCCATTTATACATTTTTCTTTTGCTACTTCTTCCAATCCACATTCACAACATTTCACATTCTCATCACAGTTGACCTCCTCGTTCATCCCACAAACAACACTGGCACCCATGTTCTCATCATCATCATCCGCACGCTCAACATCTGTTTTCCGTTTTTTTATAATTTGTATTTTTTATCATTTCTGTAATTTTGGCAATGTCTTGCTCATTGTTGTCACCAGCAGTTGAGTTTTTTTAAAACATCGATATTTTCACAAAATCTTGTCTAATTTCGGTCAAAATAGAGTATTTTAATCAATTCCTGTTACAATGTATTAAAACAGTTTTCTAAAACGCGAAAAAACGTCTAAAATTCTTTTTCTAACATTGCTTTTTTATAGTGTGACTTCACATCTAACCCCCCCCTCCTCCCCCTCATCACACATCATCATAAAATTACAGACCCCCCCCCCCCCCTTTACGAGTGTGACGTCATTTATGGAAGACCCCCAAATAACACCACCACCAAAACCAAAAAAATTCAGATAAGTTCAACTTGGTTTTAAAAATATTTGAAGTAGGCCCATAGCTTACGATATAGCACGAGCAACTGATAATATCGGTGACGTCACTTTATTTTGTTGTATCCAAATGATGTAGGCATTACCTTGTTCTTAGATTTATATGGTAAAAAAAGCTAGAAAAAAATCGTAGGCGGCGGCTATAATACAAAATTTCTAGGCAACAATAGAAAATATGTTTGCGGCGGCAGCGGATCCGGGCACTGCGATCTTCAAAGAAGGTAAATCAGGCGGCCTCGGCGTTCCACACAAAAGACAGAAGTTGATCTATCGTCGGCGGTATTTCCGTCGGTTTCGAACAAGGTGGTATTCTAAGTCGACCCAAAAGATGGGGGGAGTTGACAAATCATCAGTACGTCTAGCGACGGAAAAATCGGAAGTTTTAACAATGTAAACGAAACGTCTTTGAAGTCTGGACCAAATACCACTGAAAATCGGGTGCGGTAAATTTTTCGCAGAAATCTTCGCATTTCAACACCACCCAGCGTAAGTATCGGCTTGTGGTAAAATGCGAGACAAAAAGCCACGTGACCGACCGTTTTCGCGCCCTTCTCGCATTTTCCCGCCCTTCTCGCATTTTCCCCGCCTCGCCATTTCGCTTTTCGCGTCTCGCAATTTCCCCACACCCCTCAAACACAGCTGAAAGTTAATTTCTGGCTTTATTGATAGATCTAAGCCTTGTATTCAATTGCCTGTATTTATATTATATTAGGCCTATATATTATTAATAATAGACGTCAATGACGGTGTTTTAGTCATTATTCAAATATCTATTAATTATAATTTGACACAAATATATCACAATATAAATATAAGCCTACTTGTAGTAATTAACATTTAAAACCTTAGGCCTATTTAATAGGTACAATTTATTAATTAGCCAACTTGTCCTTTCACAATTCATATAGCTTCGCAGATTTTTAATTTCAGGATAAAATAATTTCATAGGCCTAAATTCTAAATTTAAATTAAATAAATTTAAATATTAATTATTAATAGAATAGTAGATCTAGATTTAGTAGTCAACTGTAGTCCTAAGGCCTAAAAATAGAATTTAAATACAAACTAATTAGGCCTATTTTCTAAATAATAGAATAAAAAGTTATCTTAATAATAATAAGGCCGATGCTAGCCGGAAAAAGATACGCATGCGCAATGGAGAGAAACTACGACTTGCCTTCGCTGTGATGTTCTCGATGGTACTGCGCATACATGTGTTTACAACCGCAGAACCCTAGACCTAACCTCCACCCTAACCCTATCCCTAATCCTATCCTGACCCTGGCCATGGGTCACTGCGCATAACTATCTTTTGCCGACTAGATCTAGGCTAGGTGGAAACGTTGGGACCAAAAATCTTTTTCCGAGTAGTCACTTCATAATAATAAACAATATAGATCATCGTATGGTAAAACTCCATTTTAGCGTATTTTATTCTCCGTTGCTTGTTTACCTCCAGTTGAGCGTATTTTATTATAATAACCGAAACACCAAAACATTAGGAAAACACGATTTATTTATTTGTATTGTATTTTTGTTTTAACAAATGAATAAAAATGAATTTAAAAAAAAAACAAAGAGACTGACTTTGTTTTAGATTTTGATAATTTACTTTTGTCAAAACTTGAGAAAAATCTAAATTTAGAATATTGAATGTGTTATGTTCGTGTATCAGTTAGAATTTTTATGGCAATGGGTGAAGTATGTAAACGTAACTCACAATTGCAAGGTTAAGTTTGTATTGTTACAAGTATCTCCCAGGCATGATACTATAAATAAACATTTATGAACTTACAATGCCCCAAAACTGAGGCCAACACAATTTCAAACAGCTATTGCCCGAGCTATGACGTATGCTGATAGACCCTAATTAAAGTCAATGTGAACTGACGGTGAACCCACGACAGTGTAAGGATTTTTCTCCCGCTGACGATCACACGATATTTAATTGGAACAGTTCTAATGCTTTTTTTACGTTTTTTTTTTTACCTTTTCTAATTAAAAATCACCTTCAGAAAAAAAAATAAGTAGATCTAGTGTTTTCCTAACGTTTTTGTGTGTTTTGGTTGTGTTTATAATAAAATAAAAATACACTCAACTGGAGGTGAAGCAGGGGGGGGGGGGAATAAAAATACGCTAAAATGGAGTTTTACCTCATCATATATCTAGATAGATCTAGTATAGGCCTATTGACTGCTAAGCCTAGTCTAGATTTCCACTCAATATGACTGTGTTTTGTTTGTGATTTGAATTTTCCTTTAAACTTAAGGTTTTTTCTTCTGTGTTGGTTGAGTGTTGTTGACTGCTGCTGTTGAGTGAGAGTGGGGAACTAACTCGACTAGCCTAGTGGATATATTTTTGTTTTGTTGTGTTTAATGACCTTTATAATACATTGTACACTTTTACAAATAACAAAAACATTGATAAGAAATCATTAAATTACTTTTATATCGTCAAACAATCCAATATTGGTGGGATACAACAAGCAATGGAACTTTCTTTCGGTTCCATTGCAGAAGTCGCCATTTTTTTGCACTCACTGACCCTTCAAAATAATCTGGGATCTGATTGGTCATAAAAGTTTTATAGTTTAAAGCTATTTTATTATGGTCCCTAGATCTACTAAAACTGTTTAAATAAAAATATTTTTCAAAACATTTTTTTGTGTTTGCATTCTTTCTCTTACACAAAAAGGCAACGGAATAGCAACCAAGGTAAAATTCACCATATTTTAGGCATGTTATAGGCCTATATATATATATATATATATATATATATATATATATATATATATATATATATATATATATATATATATAATATATATATTATATATAGATCTATATAATATATATATATATATATATATATATATATATATATATATATATATATATATATATATATATATATATAATCTATATACACTTAAATAAACTGCAGCACTATTTTCCCCTAAGAAAACATAGTAAAATGCAGTACAAGAAAAATGTTCTTGAACTAGTTGTGGCAGTTATAATTACTAAGACCAAGGCTTACCTTAGTTTACCTTTCAGAGGAGATAGGGTTTCTTTAAGGCAATTTTCTCACACTTTTTCTTTAAAACTACCCAGGGGGTTGGGGTGAGTGCACTTTGGTTTAATATGAATTACATTCCTTCAGCCTCAAATGTGTTGAAAATAGTGAAATACAAAGTCTTTCATTTTATGATGTTATCATTGACATTCCTGTTGAAAAGGCAAGATAGAACACATTTTGTTTCAATGGATTAAATAAAAAGTTTTTTGTAAGTTATGCCTTTTGATTAAATTTTTTTTTGTTGGGAATTGTGCTGTCACCAAAAGCAGCAACAATGTGAGACTATGTTCCTGTTAGGTGTACATAGGGGAGAGGTTTACCAACCCCCTCCTTCCAACAACCCCTGCCTCCACCACTACTGACTTCCTAAAAAGGTATAAGCACAATTAAATTGTCTCATGGTGCCTCCATTTTCACATGGTTCAACATACAAACAGAGGCGTAGCGACCCTTCCCAGCGCCCAGGGCGAACTTTCAGTTTGGCGCCCCCTCCCCCATATAGGCCCTATATATATATATATATATATATATATATATATATATATATATATATATATATATATATATATATATATTTATTTATTTATTTATTTATATTTATATTTATATATGTGTGTGTGTATGTTTTTGTGTGTGTATGTGTATGTGCGGCAGTCTGGGAAAAAAAATAATTACGCTGTATGATTTTTGTTCCCTAAACTTTACTCGACTTTACTTGGAACAGTCTCTGTTATGATATAGTGCATATTTGGATTATACGTTTGTTAGATTAAGGTCCTACAATTGACATACAATAGCAAATTATTGTTCACATTGGAATACAATATGGGTATTTCGTTGACTGGTTGATTGTATAATGAAATAAGCTAAAGGAAACAAACTGGAATCTAACTGACACAACAGCTCGAAGTCTTGGATTTATTAGATGTGCGCTGCCTTCTCGCACACAGTCAACAACAAATGCAGAATTAATTGTACTGGTTGAAGAAGCAGTAATAACCGGTTTAATGATAATAGCTGATGTCCATGACGTTCAGATTAGAATCAGCAGCGATAAAATGCGTATTAACATTCTAAGTCAATGTGGAATTCAAATGCATTGTCAAAAATATTCAATCAGGATCTATAGCTGAATATGATGTATCTTTTACTGTAAGGCTCGGAGCTAGGTTAAAGACAATCGAAAATGAAAAGGTGGTGGTTAGGGCACACTATGAGAAAGACAAATACTAACATCACTATGCAGGTGCTAGTGTGAAGTCCATGGGGAAAGAGGGAGAGAAAAAGACTAAATAAGTTCTGAAGGAAATCGTTTGAAATAAAGAATGAGGAGGCTGGATTTTTAGGGTTCGAGATTCATAAAAATGAGTTGACGAAGTGTTGTCTTCTCCTATGTTGTTTAGGAAGCCGAAACGAATAAAAAGAAGAAAATCAAAAGATCTTAGAACAGTGGGTTCCATCGAACCCGAGAGGTTCGGTAATTCAGTCTCAGGGCTTCCGCGGAGGTCAAGACACACAGCCGACTCATATGATTCACGAATCACGATCGGATTTTGTCAATTTTTTTTTTTGTAACACAATAGTAAAATACGCTTTAGATCAATGGGTTTCTTTTCTGACTGATATCGGTTATTTATTCCTTAATCTGGTGTGAATTTTTCCGATTTTAGTCTTCGAAAAAACGCCCCCCCCCCTCCTCCCCTCTCTAGGAAAGCTGGAAAGCGTTTTTTTCGGTCTCTGTTTCTTAAGGATATATGTTTTACAGTAACACAATCAAGGTAGAGAACAGTTAAATCAGTATGCAAAGGCTTTCAGCCGTTAAATTTCTTTACTTTGACTGTTTATAATTCAAAACTGCAGCTTAAAATGAGCTGTTAAAAAAATTCTACCCCTTTTGGCGCCCCCCTAGGGTCGGCGCCCGGGGCGGCCGCCCTCCCCGCCCTCCCCTAGCTACGCCTCTGCATACAAACATTTACCTCAAAGTGAAATTAGTGATAAAGATACATGTGTGATGTGAGAAAGTCAGCTGTCCATGAGGGTGAGTGTGTGTTTCAAATCCATTTAACTCCTTGTGCCATACCACTGATACTACAGGCCTGTATATTCCTAACTCAATTTAAGGAATGGCTACAGGACATTACCCCCGGGACATTTCCCCCCCCCCGTATTTACCCCCCGGAGCAATTACCCCCCTGTCAATTACCCCCCCCCCCGGGAATTCCCCCCCCCCCCCCGGGAATTCCCCCCCCCCCCCTCTCAAGTTAAAATCCTAAATCTAACTAGAATTTTATACCTATATACTACTTAAATCTAAACCTTAAGAAAAAGACCAAAACCTAAGCATCCACCTTAGCCTAAAACTTCACACAAAACCAAAACTAGACACAACCCTAACCCTAGCTCTAACCCTAACCTTAACCCTAACCCTAGCCCTAAAACCTAACCCTAACCCTAACTCTAACCCTGTCCGGGGGGGGGGGGGGGGGTAATGTCCTACTGGGCGGGGGGGGGGGGGGGGTAATTGACGGGGGGGGGGGGGTAATTGACAGGGGGGGGTAATTACTCTGGGGGGTAATGTCGGGGGGAAATATCCGGGGGGTAATTGACAGGGGGGAAATGCCCTGTTCCCTTAAGGAACTAACATTGGTTTTAGAACTTTCAAATTTTGAATTGGGGTCCATCAGGGTGAGGGGTTATTGACCCCCCCATACCTGCTACACTGATACTATATATATATATATATATGTGTATATATAACTAATGCTAATACTTTAAGTAATACCAAGCTAATATTTGCACAATTCACACTGGGAAAGCAAGGGAAGTAAAAAAAAAATAAAGGGAAGCTTAAAAGTTTTCAAGCAAAAAAGGAATACCAAATAACCTCTATTATTAGTTTGGCAGGGCTGGAAAGGGTATGGTTACTATCCAAAAAAAAGTTCACAGTTAACACCCTACCCCCCTTTGGGCAGATAAGGCTCATTACCTGTGCATAGCAATCCACCTTGGAGAGGAAGCTCCAAAATTTCTTTTCTGCAGCTCCTGTTAACTGTAGTTTGAACAAAACATTTTACTTAGCATACCTTTGAACCATACCAAATAAAGGCCAAGAGAGGGATGATGATTCATGGGAAACCCATGATCTCTTCATGTTTAGTCCTGGTTCCACTTCTGAAGGTACATCTTTTGTACCCCAAGGAAAAGATGAAGCCATGTTATTGGCTGTTTTATGGGAACACCCCCAGAGTAATTACCCTTTGGTAATTACACCCCCCCCCCCCAGTCATTGGTTAAAGTACAGTTAGGGCTAGGCTTAAACTAATGGCTAGGAATGGGTTTAGTTTTAGGCTGAGATGATAGCTTGGTTTTAGGCTTTTTTTTTAAGGTTAGGATTAAGGTAAGATATAGGTCTAACCCTAAAACAAACCCAAACCAGAGTTAGGGGTTAGAGTTAGGATTTTCAAGCTGGGGGCTGGAGGGCAATTGACATGTGGATAGTGTTGAGGGGTGGAAGTCTGGGTGGTCATTGACAGGGGGGGGGGGGTAACAATCTGTTTTATAAATCAAAAATATTTTGGATAGACTAAAAAGTGGCTATGACAATCATCAGATTATGTCAAATATGAATTCATTTCAGGCATAAGAGGTATTTAGGGTTTTTATTCAAGTTTTTAAAAAATTGCTCAACTGAAATAAGCAGAGTAAGCTTGATATGGGCAGGATGTGTCTGAGTTTAGACAATTTTTCTGAAACACTTATGTATCACAGATTTATTTTTAAAAAAAGTGCTGTAAATCTAGTGCACCATACACTCATAAAATCCAATGGCAAGTAGTTTCAAGTTATATGTTTATTAGAAGTTTATCAACATTTATTCATGTATAAGCATAGTGTTCTGTTTAATGATAAAACTACCAAGAAGAATTGGAGGAGTGTTGATAAGTAAAATATTACAAAAGAAAACAAAATTGAGAAATAGTGTTTTTTTGTGTACTTTCGGTCTTTGCAATCTATATATCCCTACTTTAAAAAAGTCTTTGATAGCTCAACAAAAGAAGTAGATTTATTAGAAGTTAAATGCAAGTGGCTAATCAAATGCCCTAAAAATAAGCACAGTTGCTAGATACCTTAAAATATAATTATATACATAGGTGTATTAACTATGACAGTTTGTTATAACAGAAACATTAAGTTTTGAAGGTTGAAAAAAATATCATATAATTGGCTATTAGGCCTGCAATACTATAATTAATGTGACTATTTAGGCTTTTGTAATTGTAAAAGAAATTGTATAAGTTTTATAAATTTACAATATGTAAAAAGATCAAAACTAAAAACATTCCCTAATAATTATTTTTTGAAAGTTTCAGAAAAATATTCTCCACAATGAAAGCTGAAAAAAAAAAAAAAGGCAGTTGAAAAAAGATGTGTTGTTCTTCTGTGCAGTACTCAATGGATGAAAAGAGGGATTAATATTTATCACGCCAGTTCCACAATAGGATTTCTCACTCTTGGCTTGTTAGGATTGTTTTCCAGTAACCAGTCAGCCAACCATAGCTGTAGACAATTTAAAAATAGCATGTAAATCTTCTTGAATATGTTACAATTTTAAAATAAAATAAAAATATTGTCTATCCATTCACATCAAGACTTGAATATTTTAAATTATTTATTTACCACAGGGTCTTCTGGCTTCTTCTTAGCCAAATCTGTGAGTCCTTTCAGAAGTGTGGGGTTGACTGCTTTGGAGAGATAGTCTTTAGCAGCTTGTCCAGTGGCAACAGGCTCTACAATACCTAGACAAAAACATCAACAAAAACACAAGTGAATAACATTTATATTTCAATAATAAAGCTAAAAAATCAAATCAGAATAATAAGTTATAAAATATTGCACATGCTAGATTCCAGCAAAATTAAAAAAATTCTTACAGTCAGGAAAAAAAAATCTGAGCTCTCTCTGTGCACTACTGAAACAGTCGCTTCCATGTAATGCATTTCTTTGATCATCTGTGCCGTAGATTGCTCGTAAGCTAAAAAAAAAATCAATGGAAGAAAAAAAACTTAAATGATAAAAATTTTAGTAGCTAACCATAAGTATTATTAAACCAGCATTCTGCAACAGATAATGGTACCTAAAGGAATTCTTTAGAAATCAATACAATGAGACTTGAGCAATTATTTTTATGCTGTTGCTTTATTTTTTTTTACACCTACAATAATGACAAGCATATAATGTATTTTTAAAACTGTTTGTGGGTCACACTGGTTGACATGCACCTGAAAAATCTTAGAATGACATATACAATACTACACAACATTAAATGTGTCAAACATTTAATCTTATCTACCAATAAAAAGTATAGACAACCACATAGAAAAAAGTTTAATAAACTTTATAACATAATTAGTCAGACTCAGCATTCCAGGGGTTATACTGAGAAAGTACAAACTGTTTTATATCATATCTTTACTTACCATTCTGGATGTGTTTGCTTGGCTTTAAGAGCATTGGTTGGGCCTATCAGTTCTCTCCAGTATGAAATAGCTTGGTCTCTAGCAATCATTAAAATAATGATGGGGCCACTGCTCATGTATGCTACTAAGCTTGGGAAAAATAGCTTTCCATAATGTTCTGCATAAAAATCACTAGCCTGTTCTGGTGTTAAGTGAACTCTTCTTTTCTGAAACAAATTTAAAAATCATAACAATCAAATAATTGAAAACCACTACCAATATGGTTAACTTTCTTCCTCAGAAGATTTCATATATTTTGTCATATTTTTATTTTCCTAGGAGGCAGGCAGATCAGCTAAATATGCTAGACCCAAAATGCAGGCGCTTATGGATACAAGTATGGTGCAGTATGAACATTATTTACATCTGGTTATGATTAATTTCCTAAGACAGTAAATGAGTTTATCATTTAAATTGTAACCTTTTCCCCAGTGTGTGGCCAGCAGATGTAAAATAATATGTTAACGATGACTATGGCCTATGGAAATATTTGCTGCTGAATGTTGATTTTAACAAGCAAGCACTAACTCATAACAATAATTTGCTTGATTAGTTGATCCATTGATTTATGGTTAATTTTTTTCTGTCACAACTTGTTTTTTAGCAATATATTAACATAAGATTATATGCAAAACAAAGAGATGGTGACTATGATGTATGCTTCTATGGACAATTATACAAAAGCAGAACTTAACATTAAAGAAGGATTTTTTTTAAAACAAGTTAATTAAAAAAGTCTAGTGACATTTGTGCGCAATTTCCTTATGTTATCTAAAAATAGCTCTGACGTATAATGTTGGGGTGCGTTCAAGCTAGAAGAACAATCGGTTTGTAGGTGTTTATGTAATTTTAAAATTTGTGACCGAACGAGAGAATATTTTTGAAAACTTTCTTCGGCAATATTGTTCTAAATTATGACAGGAATCGATTGGTACATGTTTCAAGTCGCTAAGTGGTCTGGTTGCCGAGATATGGGCCAAAAACTGCTTTTTTTCGAGATTTTTTGGCTTTTCTGGGAAATCCATGAAAGAAACCCGGAATTTTTATGGCCTATGTTCATCCTCGTAACTTGCTTAACATAATTGCTTTTGGAACTAGTCATCGATATTGCTTCGTTGAGGAGGAGATACGACTTAAAGCTGCGGACACACATTCATCCATCCATCCATCCATCCATCCAGAAATGACGGGTTAATAAACGCAATTCTCCAGAATGGAAATTGCGCTAAAAAGTAGCATGTACATTTGTTTCCATATATTAAATAAGGGTGATAGACATTGATAGTTTTGATATTATAAATAAGAGTGCAAAATTGTAAATCTTCCACTGAAAGTTTGTCTGGACTTGAGTATGTAGAACTTATTTAAGTCCAGTCCACTCAGCTCTGATGGGTACCTGACTCATATTAGGGAAGGTAAAGGTGGCTGGACATAATGCTAACCACACTATCCCTTCAAATGCATGCAGGGGTAACAGAAATAGGTGAACTCTACTTCACTTGCCCCATGGGCCGTAGGTTCAAGAAGGAAGCTTTACTTTTCTTTTACTCGGGAAATTTTGTCTGATGTAGCTGTAGTCAAAGGCCAATTAAAATGGCATAATTAAGCAATAAATTAAGTATTAATTTTTAACTGTTAGTATTAGTATTATTAAGTATTAATAATCACCACTACTTAAAATTTAATTCCATACACCTAGATCTAATTATTTTTTCTAAGACATTTGAAAAAAAAATGTCTTGCCTGCAAAACAGCAAAACCAGACCTAAGAATTATGTCTTCTATTTCATCAGCTTTGTGAAGTGCATCTGGCTTTATAACTGCAAGTGTCCTTTCCACATAAATATGTGGTTTTTCCATCGTAATTTGTTCATCTGCTCCTCCCGTCATTTTGTTTTAAAAGTTAACGCCGATTTATAAACCCCGTATAATCTTGCAAGCAAGATGATTTTTGAAGATAGTTGACTCAAACCAAAACAAGAATCTGTTGCTAAGTGACGTCAAAATTGAATTTTTCTCTGAAATCCAACTTTTTAATAATCCCGATCGACGGAGTGAATCCAAAGGCTAGGCACTATGCATAGAGAAAGTGCTAACTTCGTTGCTTCAATAAACATTTCCAATATTTACAAACAAAAGCTTAATTTATTTTTGCCTAAGGCCAAATGCTAATAACAGAGTAGACTACACCATTCGTTAACCCTTTATTGCATGAATTATTGGTTTACTTGGTAAAAATTTTTTGACTTCATATTTCTACAGCAAATGGACTAACTTGAGATGTAGGGAGTTTTTTTTTTGAATAGATGATAAATATCACAACAATTTTGGTCGTTGCAATTCTGCAACTATGCGCAACGGTCAAACTTTTTTTCCATAATAAGCAAAAAAAAAATTTATATAGAATTGTTGATAGAAATGTAAATAACTTGTACAAATCATTTGAGAGTAACACTAGTAAAATGTAAGCTTATTTATGATGAAAACAAAAGTAAAAACATGTACACTGAAAGAGAAAAAAACAACTGAAAAATTACATGAAGGTTTATTTAGTAAAAAATTTATTAGCATTCTTTTTTGTTTGCTATACAACAAATAAAAACTTCTGTGCATTCTTGGTGCAGGACAACCTGCAACTAAATGATGAACTAAATGATATTGTCTATGTAAATCTTGAGCCCAACATATTGGGGAACACTCTGTAATAATGTCTGCTCAATATTAGCAACAGCACTTTGTCATCTTGTCCCTTTGTAGCTTTACCTGTATGCACTTCAAAATCTTGGATTATACAAGTTGTTGGACACAACAAAGACTTTGTAGCCCATCTATATGGCTTTCTATGGTTGTAGGTTGGACTGCTTTTGCCTACGATATGTGAATGGGTCGATTTGCTCATGAATACTTAGAATCTCAGACGGCATGGGGTTTGATAAGCACAGAATTCCGAGATTGGTCAACTTCTGCCCTTTGAACATTGTTTGACAGGTGTAGCTTATTCTTAATCCACTCGAATCTATTGATGGTTATGTCTGTGACAGTAACACATAAGGTGACAAGGCACCAAGATCTTTGGTATCTAGAATTTTTTTTACAATGTTTATGTAAAACACAATTTCCAGGACATGTTTTTGTTCATCTTTATCCAGTACTAGTGGATTGTTTATGTCCTGCTGAGGACATAGTTTCACAGGTGTATATTATTCTTTATCCGCTTGAATCTGTTGATGGTCATGATGTATTGACCGTAATACATTTGGTCGCAAGTCTCCAATACACTCTGCATATATGAGTTTTTACAATGTTTATGTAATACACACAATTCCTAGGAAATGTTTTAGCTCATTCTTATCCAGTGCTAATGGATTGTCTGTCCTGCTGAGGACATTGTTTGACAGGTGTAGATTATTCTTATTCCGCTTGAATCTGTTGATGGTCATGACGTATGTGACCGTAACAAACTTGGTGGCAAGGCTCCAATACACTCAGCATTTAGGAATTTTTTACAATGTTTATGTAAAATCTAATTTCCAGGAATAATCTTTATCCAGTGCTAAAGGACTGTTGATGTCATATTAGAGGACAGTACAGGTTGGATTGATACACAACTGTCCGAACACAGATTATCTATAAAGATGTCGTTGAAATAATCCAATGGCCGCCTCTGATGTTTGGCTTCTCTCCTAGGATCAGGAAATGGTGGAACATTTGCTGTATACTGGAACTGATCATTCTGTTGTTGCTAATGAAGACCTTGGTGTAGACAATTGAGAAGGTCCTGAGGAGTTTCATCATTTTTCGCAAATGGGCATACTCTGTAGAAATAAATTTTGAGAACATTATTTGGTTATAAATTATGCAATAATTGTATACAAAACAATAAATGCTTTACTAATCTACAATCAAACCTTTAAAGTATGCAATAATAATATGTTACCTTCAACTACGTCAGACAAATCTTCAGCACCAACATCCGATAGGACCCGGGTACTGTTTACGTTCTCTATTTCATCATTGGACAACTCACTATCTTTTGAGCCAAAAGGAGTAGCTCAGAATAAACTGGTAGAAGACTTTCAAATTAGACTCTTGGATCCATGGTTATGAATATGTGAAAGCCTAAAATAAAAACAAAAGGTTATTCATTAGTGATAGTCTAGCTCTTAACGATAAATATATAAATAAAACTAATAAAACTATTGTTAGGCTATAACTTATTATTATTATGATTATTATAGGCAAAAACTAGATCTAGAAGCTTTAAATAATATGCCACAACACTAAATGTATTTCACATCATAAAATAAACTATTTTGTGTATAGAAATAATTACCAAGTAAACTAAAGTCTAGCTCAGAGCAGAGCCATTTTTATTTATTCCGTTGCATGTAGTTGCATTACTACAACAATACAAAACCTAGGCTCTTACTAATGAAATATTAAAATTTTTATTGTGAATCAACTAAATTAGTACTAATGCATAGTTTTTATTGTAAATATATTTTTTTCAGCTAGTTTATTATAATTTTAACCAGGTTTTAACGTAATTTTATACTTACCATTTAGCAAAAAGCAGAAAAGTGTAGATCGCTTCTAAAAATGTCCGATTTGAAAAAGAAAAATCTTCTTTTCAAAAGAGTTCCGGTATAAAATGTAATAAAAAGTGCTATCCGGAGTAAAATAAGTTGAAAACGAAACAAAATATTAAATAATACAGTACTTGATTACTCCTAAAGTATTGTTGCAAAACTGCAACGCTATGCCATATAGGGTTAATATTCTGGGCTAACGGTTACGTAATTTAAGTAGATTTAGCTAGGGCACGGGATACGGTAACAAAGCAACATTGAACATAGAAAATAGGCCAGAAAAGTTTTTCCCGCGGTGATAAAGTAGGTTAATATGAAAAACTTAAAACTAAGAAGACTAGATCTAGATTAGACTTAGACTAGAAATTGTAAGAGTGACGCTGCTTGTAAAATCTTGAATACGTTGAAAGTTTTAGAAGCCTTATACAAAAATGATTAATTGCTTAGGTCAGATGTGTGCAGTGTTTCTTCCAGACTTATATAAATTCCATCTCTTTCACCCCCCCCCCCGAAGAATTGCCTGGAAGAAAATCTGGATGTGTGAACTTATCTGAATTGATAGAATATTAAACGCAGTGTTCTATAAATGAATATATATTAACCCAAACCCGTTCAGTTTGTGCTGAAATATTAAGTTAATATATAATCCTAATTTATAAAAGCCCAATGTGCGCACATCTCTCTCTCTCTCTCTCTCTTTCTCTGTCCGCAAAAAATTTTCGCCGGACATCACGTCAGAAACGGCAGCGATATATCGAGAATTTTTTACGGACTTTTGTTGAAAATAATATGTTAGATGTTTTAAATGTATAACCACAATTTTACTTAAAGAAGAAAAATAAAAATTTAAGGCGTATTCGAATGTAGAGAAACAGTATTATTTATGCAACCGGAAAAGCATTAATATATGTGAAAAAGAACGCATAAAACTGTGACGTCACTATTGCTTATACATTAACTAATGACGTCATCTGCCGTGTTAAGAATGAAAAGAAATGAACTATTTCATTCAAATTTGATTTAGATCTACGTACACTATGAAATGTATACAATACAATTTTTCCGGCCTAAACTCATAAAATTTATTTTATGTATTTGGATTCTAGATCTAGAGATTCTAGATCTAGACTAAATCTAAATCTAAATCTACGCAATAACTAGATCTAGACGTAGACGCTAAGATCTAGATTTAGACTCTAACTTCTCTAAAATCAATTCCAAAAATAAATGTCTATATTAGGACTAAACTATTTCAAGACTTATTTATTTTATACAAAATCTTTGTTTGGAACTGGCTAATTTGGGATAAAAAATTAATTTGAAAGAATAGGCATATTCGCGTAAGTTAAGATTTTAAAATACGTGTTTCATTCTCCGTATTTTATAAGGTGCCTAAATAGCGGAGATGTTAGTGTACATTAAACCACGCAGGTGGTGCGGGTTCGAGACACAGCAAGTCAACTTGGTTAATGTATTCTTTTTTATTATGCTCGGGCTAAATTTAAAAAAAAAATTCTTTTAGGAATCTAGATCTAGATTGTCGGGTGTCCGATAGGGCACTTCCCGGCGCCGCAGGCGCTTCAAATTTGGCATGATCTTGCCTTGGTGCGACAGAACACGGGGGCCGGTTGGCCGAAAAGTCTACGATGTGGGGGTCAAAACTGACCTCGACTGACCGGTACCTTATATGAGCTATAAATCGAAAAAAAATGTCCACGGAGGAACCTCTTCATAACTCTTGAGGTCGTAGACCGACCTTCGGGCGAATTAATTAAGCATTCAAATTCTCAATGTTTTCGAAAGCCTAAGCGAAGCTGGGCAGCATGCCTAGTAATATATATTGATCTAGATTTAGATCTACTTGTGTTCTATGTATTTTAGGCCTATGGTCTACGTAGTCCCTTTACTTTATTGCTATCTAGATCTAGAATCTAAGTTAGCTGCAGCACAGAGGCATAGCGACCCATTCCAGCGCCCTGGGCGAACTATCAATTTTGTGCCCCCCTTCTTTCCCCATTTATATAGATCTAGAATCTATAGTTATTCACGTTCGTAAAAAAGCATTCCCCATTAACTGATTAAGAAAGGTCTGGGACAGCTTTCTACCAGTCATTATTCCTATATAATTTATATATTGGTGTCTTGCTACTGATGTAGAAAACAGTTATGAAAGTCCACAAAGCCAAGTAGCAGTTTGTTTTCTTAACTTTGACTGTGTGTAATTAAGTAATGCAGCTCATTCTTCTTCTTCTTCTTCGTTCTTAATTATTAGGGATCGAGATTTATCTGCCAGTGGGTTTGATGAACTTAGCAGTAGCGTACGCAGGGGGGGGGAGCAGGGGGAGCGGCCGCTCCCCCTCTGGCCATTTTCAGCAAAGTGGCGCCTTTTTGGAAACTTTTTAAACTCTAATTTTTAAACAATGATATTTGTTTAAAAAATATTTTTGGTCGGCACATCTATGTGAATCACAAGATTTCTTTTCATGCAGCAATTAAGCATTATTGTACTAGTCTAGTAGTGTCTACGTTTACAACACGTATTAACAGCTGCGTCAGTTTGCCATTCTAAAAATAACCATTACGATGCATTGCAATGTTTAAAAAACCTCTACGGTAGTACCACTTGGCAAGAGGGGTGTTAAGTATTAGGCAACTGTATAATGTATTTGCTTACGAATAATTGAATTAGAAAATGTTATACATAAAACTTCATACATAATTACTTTATATATACAGTTTGAATCGTGTGATTAATTTAAAAAAAATTACAATACAGAAACAAATACAACTGATGTGGCACCTCTATTTAAATTTACTTATGAGCAAACTGCGTAGTGGTGGGGAAATTTTGACAAGGTTAACAACGTCATCACGATGAAGTAGTAGTATTCTTACAGTTTGGGCGATAGTGATTACGATTACAAATTATATGAAACAGTTACAACCCACGTCCCCATGGACCCCTCTGTACAAAAATATTGTCATAATACCACTGCTACTTATTTAAATCTATTTCTGTAATATATATTTGTGTAATATATATTTGTGTAATATATATGTATGTTAAGAACAGTCGTCTAAAAACTGACGCTATGTTCACTCTGAGTTGATTATTCCCCCCCCCCACACACACACCTCACCACGACAATTGTGTAGAGCGACATAATGTCACACCTAGATATACACTGGGTTGGATGATTGACCTACAGTGAACGGACAGTGGTGAATGAAGTTGAACCCACCCCCCCCCCCCCCTCCAACCCACCCCGAATTGATCTGTTAAGTACATGTAGAAAAACGCGTAATGATGTACCAAAGTACCATGCCGCCAGAAAATTAGCTTTTTAAACGTAAAACAGTGAATATTGTTTTTGCAATTACTAGTAAAAAGGTGTGTGATCAATACAGTGATCTAACCCATTCCTATCACTATGTTAAAAAATGATCTTTAAAGAACACAAAGAAGCAGTAGTTAATTAAAATGTAGGATCTGAACTTAAAGACCAATATTTAGTTAAATGTAAGTTGTTATTCCGAATGTATTCTTTTATATCGAAAAGCGTGGTTTTATACCAACTCTGATTTTAAAAACTTTCATTATGCTGTAATACTTTAGCATTTATGATGACGATATATTAAATTCTGATTATAGACAAAAACATTTTGTAAACACGAATAGTGTTAAACAATTTCATTATATTCTAAAGTAGTTATTTATTAGTTTTGATATTTATAATTAAATGTGTAGAAATTTTTTTTACAAGAATTACAAAACATATTGTGTTACGTTCATTGGTTTTAGTTGTAGTGTGTGTGTATATATATATATATATATATATATATATATATATATATATATATATATATATATATATATATATATGTGTGTGTGTTTAGATTGATACGATTTTTGTTTTGTAGGCCTACATTGTGTGTTTTTTCTTATTTCTTCAGAGTGCTACTTTCAATTTATTTTACATCATAGCGAAGTAATGACATACAGCTAGTAATTATATATATATATATATATATATATATATATATATATATATATATATATATATATATATATATATATATATATAATACACGTATAGAACTTGTTAAAAATTCGGCGCCTTTTTTTGCTCTTTTCGCTCCCCCTACAACGAAAACCTGGATACGCCTCTGGAACTTAGACTTTGTTCGAATTTATCAACCATGAGCTTTTTGCCGACTCGACCTTGCCTTCAACACAATTAAGCGTTACGTGTCAACTGGTTATGCGCCATTGAGTCCGATTTCAGCCTGCTTTTCTTTTTGGATTTGCTTCCATAGCCTTTGCCCAACCAAGAACAAACTACAAGGCAGCAGTTGTTTAATTTTGGAGTTGTCTCTCCTAGAAGAGTGGCTGTCCCCAGCTAACGAGCCTCATCTGCCCGAGATGCAGCTCATATTAAGCTTTATATTTTTTTACTCAGTTTGGCACCCCTAGCGTTGCTTCCCTACTCACCCTCCCCTAGCTAAGCTTCTGCATCAGCATCTTGATACGGAACCTTTGTATTGTAACAATTGGGAGCTGTATTTTTACTAGTTATAGTTACTAAAACTAGTTTTATGTAAAATTTAAGAAATTAAAATCCAAAACAGATATTGTATTTTATATTGCACAACTCCAAAAATGAACAACCTTAACATTTTTTTGTTACAATGGGTATATTTATTGACATGGGCATATAAATTTATACATAACAGTGCCATCAAAACACACTAAATTAACTAAATAAATCCACAATTTTTTTACACAAATAATTGGTAGGTTTTTTGATAGGAAACTTTTAAGAATCACATAAATTGTATTAACAACCAAGTTATACATAAAAAGTATTTCAGCATTACATTCTTTTATTTAAGCATCAAGACTGTTTTAAAACACAATAGCATTTTAGATGTTAAATATTAGATGACCATTGTCTGAAGGCTGATAAATGTTTGTTTTTTCGTGGTGATGTTTTTATTAGATTTTTCTAGATGTTAAGTCAAGAGATTGTTTCTATATTGTTATGTTTTCTAAATTGTGCTGTATGATGTATCAGCTGATGTTTAGAAGGCTAATGATTATTTTTTATTTGGCAAGTTTTTCATGCTTAGTCCCTGACTTTTGGCTTGTTAGGATTATTTTCCAGTAACCAGTCTGCCAGCCATAGCTGTGGAAAAAAATTTCAAAAGCTTTTATTGAAATAAACAGATTGTAAAAATGCCTATTATTTTTTTTAATCCCTGTTTAGATTATCTAAGCATCTGATAAAAGAGCAAAAACACTACAATTAAGTAGATTATATTCAACTCCTATTAAAGGTCACCATTGAATATATATATATATATATATTACATTCTATATAATAGTCTTAAAAATGTGAGATTACATCACTCTTTAAAAAGCAAAAGTGTGTCATGACACTTACTGATCCTCACTCCTCTCCATGCACATCATTACAAAAGTCTGAACACTGATCCCATCTAGGAATATAACCCTATTTATGGATGACCCCCTTAGAGGAGTTTAAATTGGTCTATCCATGCCCTACCAAAACAATATTTTAAATTGAATCAACAAATTAAAAAAAATCAAATTATTTACCACAGGGTCTGATGGCTTTTCCTTAGCCAATGCTGTGAGTCCTTTCAGAAGTGTGGGGTTGACCGCCTTAGAGAGATAGTCTTTAGCAGCTTGTCCAGTGGCAACAGGCTCTATAATACCTGATACACACAAACAAAAGTGAGGAAGTATACAAATATATTTAAAAAAAAAGAGTAAAATGTTAAGTTACCCTTTAAGAGCTGGTGTTCAATAACGAAAACCAGATAATGTTTCTATAACCTTGGTGTATTGAGTGATATTATGGTCAGTTCTACACTCAACCATGAGCCAGGTACCCCGTTAGAGCTGTGTGGGCTCAGAGAAACCCTACAGACCAAAGTTTGATTGTATAAAACTTTTGAGCATTTTCCAATTTAAAAAAAAACATCACCATTGCAAATGTATCCTAGTTGAAGCTCTTAAAAATTAGTTGTGTCATATTTTTTTAAAATTAAAAAAGACATTGATGTTTTTGATGCACAATACATTATGTGTAGATTTAAAGATTTAGGATTACATCTTATAAACAATAAGAAAATACTTACAACCAGGGAAAAAAAATCTGAGCTCTCTTTGTGAACTGCTAAAACTGTCACTGCCATGCAATGCATTTCTTTGATCATCGGTGCCGTAGATTGCTCGTAAGCTAAAAAATAAATAAATTGTACTTGAGTAAAATATTAAAGTAACATGTTAGCTATTGTTTTTATCTACACTTCAAGCACACTGGCGCATAAGTAACATATTTTCTGCATGACCTATTTAAATAGGTACGAGAACAAGATAAAAATTATTATTATTCTAGTTAGTAGCATTTTATCTAAGCACTATCAAAATTAGATTTACTGATATGTTAAAGCTTATTCACTCATGTATAAACTATGTACGTTTAAAAGGAATTAGAAATGGTTTTAGTTCAATCAAACTACATGCTATCAGCAATAATCTAGATCAATCTTATAAATGCTAAATTTACCATAAAATCATTTAATAAAATAAACAATCCAACTCCAACACTAAAACCTATGAACTGATATATATCCTGAAGTTGTTGTTATATCTATGCTTGCAGTGCAAGTGAACTATAGAATTGTCGCACTAAAGTCTAAGTTAAAATGATTTAATTTGTAGACTTGATATATAATGTATAAACATAAAGATTCTGGTTACATCTTTGATTTGCAGCAGGTAAAGGTACCAGAAAAAAATAGAGTTGTTTAGCCCAGCAAACTGAGCAAACCATCAATCATGTTTCCGTATTTTCACCTACCATTCTGGATGTGTTTGCTTGGCTTTAAGAGCATTGGTTGGGCCTATCAGTTCTCTCCAGTATGAAATAGCTTGGTCTCGAGCAAGCATTAAAGCTACAATGGGACCACTGCTCATGTACGCTACCAAGCTTGGGAAAAATAATTTTCCATAATGTTCTGCATAAAAATCACTAGCCTGTTCTGGTGTTAAGTGAACTCTTCTTTTCTGAAAAGAAACATCATAGAAGTTTTTGAAAAAATAAATTTTAAACTGTAAAAAATTTTAAACTGTAAAATTGTAAAATAATAAAAGGTTTGTGTATTGAAGCATTATAATATTACATCTCATTATAAATATTAATTAAGAGTGTCACTGTCACACCTAAAAATCTAAGCACTTTTTAGCTGTTATCATTATCTTTAAGTTAAGCTATGGGCTAGTGTTAAGATCAAAGTTATTGATGACTGCTAACAACAATGCAATAATTTTTTTGCTGTTAGGGTCAAGATAAGGATTAGGATTGTAATTAATTTTAAAATTAATGTTTGTTTATTTATAATTTATATTATTATTAAATGTATGATACTTAAGAAGTTAAGATACTCTTAAATTGTCTTAATTACTGAGTAAACAAACAATTGTATAAAAACTTACTAATATTATTAGGCCTATAATTTTAAAATAATTAATTTTTTAATAGGCCTAATTATTATTAGCCTAATATTTACTAATAATAATATAATATAGATATATCTATATAGTTAATATATTTTAAAACATATTATGATTAAACATAAAATCAGTGGTTTTATTTTTTGTTATAGATCTACATACTTATTTCCTCCTACAGTTTAAAAATTAAAATAGATGTAAATTAGAAATCTACCTGTAAAACAGCAAATCCAGCTCTAAGAATTATATCTTCAATCTCTTCAGCTTTCTGGATGGCATCAGGTTTAATAATGGCGAGTGTCCTTTCAACATATATCTGTGGTTTTTCCATTATGATCTGCTCATTCGCCCCTGCGGTCATTTTCGATGTTATAAGAAGACCACTTACTTCTATAAAATTAAAGAACAACAATCTACATTGAGTTGCTAGGCGACGATGACATTCTGTCACTCGTCGGATAAATTCTTAGTTTTTAATTTGCCATATTAAAAGAGTGGTTCACATGTTAATTTCTGACAGACCCCTGACTTTATCCACATTAATTTGCTACAATTTGCACTTCATATTGTTTTAAACTATTTTGATTTAAACATTTTGAAAACTATTTAAAAATATTCTTTTTACCAACCTATCTATTAAATCATTCTCATAGACACAGAATATTACGAAAAATCTACTTTAATCTGCACTTGGAGAACCGTCGGTATAAAACATGGCGGCTACCATTCCATTTGTTTATAATTCTTTCTTAAGCGATTAGAAATCCAGATCTAGATTCTAGATCTATTTATTTTAACGACACTCAGCCCAGAAATTGAGAAATTTCTACCAGTAGGCCTAAATAATAACATGCATTTACATAAAGTTATCAGTAATGTAGGCCTCCAGTTCTTGAAATTGTAAAACATCGAAATTATTCGAAATCTTCATTTTTTTCATTTGCACAATCATGGAAAAGGTGAGGACTACACAAACATAAAAAAATATTTTTTAATAGATAGATCTAGACTCTGTGATCTTAACTGAGAAGATTCTAGATCTTAGAATCTTAATGTCTAAATTGTATTCACTAGATCTAGATTCTAGAAGTCACAGATCTAGATCAGTGGTTCAAAAACTTTTCAGAGGTATGGGGAGCCTGAACCCAACCAGCTTGCTGAGCTTCATAATAAAAATATTAATTATTATAAAATGATGTTCATTCAACAAACCCTTCTTCTAGATCTAGACTCTACTTCAAAGGAAACAAATTTAAAAATAGAAAATGTTTTTTTTTTCAAACTCAAAGCATTATTATTTTACTGGTGCACAAAATGAACGGTGAATTGTTCAGTCTTAGCATCACTGAGTAATAAGTAATTGTACTATTGTAGTGTGTTCAAAGACCAAAGCCATCAAAATATAAACAAATCAGTGTGACTTCTAGTCTACTGTTGCCTTTCAGACACTAATTCAGAAATGCGTGGGCTCACCTTGAATTCACGAGCATTGTGTTCTTGTATTTTCTATCTCCATGTAGCCTATGAAAGTATTCTCTTAGTTTTGTCGTTGCTTGTCTAAAATAGCTCACCTTAGCATTACAGTTTATGCAGTTAGGATGCAGACTCTCATCAAGTTCTATTATACTTTACACATGTGAATCCATATTTTACATATTGGTCCGAATACTTTCTTGTTTTGCTTGACATAGTTGTATGAAGGGATTGAAGTATTAAGAAAGAAATCGCATGACGACTCCTGGGCTATTGTATAGATATCAAAAGTATGTTTCTCACAGCACGTATATACACTATAAACACGTGCCTGTATGATATCAAGGGCTCCATGATATACAAATAGCTTGATCCGAAATCTGTTATATCACTCTGGCGCACTTTATGACTATGTCAAGCTGTCAATTTTGGACTGTCTTTGGCCGTAGTCACTAGTTATATCACCTGCCCTAACAAATTCTGATTGCAAATCATGTAAGTCAGGTGCATCTTGACTCACCAAACCCCTTGGTGGGGAGGGGGGGGGGGGGAGGAGTCCAATTGAACCCAGGTTGCAGGTTAACAAACCACTAATCTAGATCTAGAAATAAATTAAAAATTATTATATAATAAAACCTAATAATATAGTTTAGAACTAATAATGTAATTAATTTCATCTAGTTGAAATTATTTGACATATTCCAACATCCTAATTCTTCATAACATTTCAATATTTATTATTATTTATCGTATGTAATTAGATCTGTTTAATTTATATATTAAGTCAATTTTTATATTTGTTTATGTTTCTTTAGGCAGCTGGAAAAAAATTAACAAGTGAGTAGAGCCTACTTAATAAGTATAAAAATGAAAGATTAAATACTGTTATTTTAGAAGTTACTTAGAATATAATTTTTTTGAGTGAAAGTATCGGTTTTTCTAAGTAAAATTTTTTTTTAAATGTGTTTTCAATATAGAAAAAGCCAGGAAATTATTTAAATTTTACAAGATTAGAAGCATCCGCTTAGGCATATTACTTGTTAAGAATGATTGACAACATTAATGACTCAGGACTAAAGTAATACAAATGTGTTTACATCTGTTGGCCCATATAACATATGCTTAATGAAAAAACTACAAAAAATTGAAAAATCATTTGTAAATCTGAAGATTAATTAAAGGAAGAATATATTGATTTAATGATAAAGTTTAAAATAGATATTAAAATATCTCTATTCCATTTTAATTTATGTTTTTGTTGTTTCAGAGAAAGACAATGATATTTTGGATGATTTGCTTGGTGGTCTGTCATCTGATGGTAAGTTTAAAAAAAAGTTAATGTGAGTTTCATGCATTTCACATGTGTCCAATTTTGTTAATACATTTAACGTACTTTAACACAATTTATTTATAATGTAAATGTAGATTGCTTAACTTCTGGTTTATCTTTGACATTGTGCTGTTTTGTTCTTTAAATATAATTTAGTTTAATCTACTTATCATTCGTTATTACGTTATGAACAATCTTTTCAAACCAGTAGTGTTTGTTGTTTATTTTATTAACAAACAAAAATAAAATCTTTCATTATACATGTTATTTGTTCTAGATTCACCTAGAAGGAAAAATACTTCACTGGTAAGTGTATTTCAGTTCAAAATTTTGTTTTTTTCAAAGTGTATAATATACATGCCATTTTCTGCTCAACAAATTTTTTACTCAAGAAATTGTAAGCATTCAATGTTTGTCAATTTTTTAAAACTCTAGACACCAGCAAGACGAGCTGCCCCCGGAAGGCCAACAAAATTAGGGTGTGTACTTTATTTTTATACATATCACTTCCTTGTATTTATATAATAAAAACATGGATATTCAAACAATACTTTTTAATAAAAAAATCTCAATTTATTTTGACAGAGGAAAAGATGACAATTTCTACAGCACACTTTCTGCCATGGCTGATAGCAATGATCTATCAGACGTTTCAGAAGCTGATATAGATAAAGTTGCACGATCTATTGGGGTAATTATGTTTAAAAAAACAAAAAACCATACCAACTAAAAATTTGAAAACTTCAAAAATTTAGCAACAAATTTTTAAAAAGATTAGTATCGAATTCACCAGTGTTTTTTTTACTTTTTAGGGCCTAGATGACATGGATGCTGACCTTTTTGGTGGTACCCTAAGCAAAAAAACAAGCAATGGTCGACCTAGTGGTAAACCTACCACACCCCGGCAAGCAACTTTGAACTCTAAAGGGAATAAATCTCCAACAAGAGTACAGGTGGGTGGGATTTTTATTTTTGGTGATACAATCAATTAAGTAAGAATATATGTGAGTATTGTATGGGATGTGTATATGGAGTTAGCATGATGTGGTTTGTATATTGTTGACAAGATTCAAGCTGTTAAAATAGAACTGAAGTACATGTTCAAATTCTTGTAGAGGGCACTGAAACTATTTGCTATCTTCACATTTTAGACTTTAGCCCTTGCACTACCTGTAATTCTGACCTTAAGAGTTATAGCAAAACATAAACAACCTTGATACAGCTCTAATAATTCTGTATTAGATTATAGCATAACATAAACAAACGTGACACATTTCCAATTAGTTCTGTATTAGAGTATTACCCTGCCAGTGTTTTATACATGACTTAAAACAGTTTATTAGCAGTTTTTTCATTGTTTATAAGCATCTAATGTGGTTCATGTGACTCTAAATACATATTTGTTAGATAGCTATATTCAGTGATTTTAAAATAATACTAAACAATTAAACTTTGTTTCACTTTTATAATAGCAAATGATTGAGATTTTATGCCTACAAAAAGTAATTTATTTTCTGTGCAGTCCCCAACTCGTGGTGAAATGCCAACTAGCCCAACAGGCCGACCAAACCTGATGAGAAAACCTGTGAAACCTCCATCACCGTCCACATCTCAAACAAATGCAACCTCCCTGCCACAGACCCAGCCTGAGCATAAACCTGGGACAGCACCAGGGAAAATGAGTGGTCAGTTTTCTCATGCTCAAACCTGTTTTAAATGTGCAGTTACGACATCCTTATAAGTCCAAAACTGAACTGTTCATTAATTAAATTCAAATTATTTCTTTACAACTGCATTATATGTAAAAAGTGGACACTGATAGCAAAACATTTTTTTTTAAATGTGTATGTTATATTTTTATAGTGTTGATTCCAATGTTGATTACAACTGCATTATATGTGAATAGCAGACAATGATTGCAAAACAATTTTTTAAAATGTGTATGTTATATTTTATACTGTTGATTCCAATGTGTTTTATCTCTGTTTTACTGAGAGCAGAATACACATGTCTGAGTTGGACTCCAGATGTTTCATCCTATATTTTCAGATTTAAGTTTGGCCAGCGAGAGTCTTGTACCTGGCCAGAAAGTTGTTCAGAGGCCTGAGACAGCTCCCAAATTAAAAAAGAAATATGACTTTGGGGGTAAGTACTTGAACCTTTTCCTAATGTTGTTTTCTTGTAAGCATAGTATAATAGACACATGTAATAGGATATTGTGATACAGCTTATTAATTTTTTAGAACACTTAAATGCTGCATAGAAAAACCCCTCCATTTTTAATTTGTGTCAATTAAAATTATTTTATTTGCAACAGACTTCAGTACTATTATGAAATCTTTATCAGCATTATACAGTAATCAGTAAATTTGTCAAGTATATGACAGAGTAATTTTTTTCTGCTTCCAGATTTTGACCCTGATGACCCCTTAGCTGGACTGTCATCAGATGAGTTTGATGACCTGTTAGACAGTGACAGGCCCAAGTCAGCCACCAAGAAACCAGCAGCACCCATACTCAAAACAGCAGACACCACAGCTAAACCTGCAGAGAAAGCTGCTCCAGCTGGTACAGTTGAACTTTTTATTTTGTCTTGTGTGGAAGTGTGTCTTGTGTAGTTAAACTACAGCTAGCTGGTACAGTTGAACTTTTTATTTTGTCTTGTGCGGAGGTGTGTCTTGTGTAGTTAAACTACAGCTAGCTGGTACAGTTGAACTTTTTATCTTGTCTTCTCTTGTGGTGTGTCTTATTTAGTTAAAATATAGGTTCATCATCTTGTGAGTACCATTTTAAATTTCTATGTATACATTTTTTTTTAAAGAATCTCCCCGGAGGCGTAACCTAATGGACAGACCTCCTACTAGAAGTGGTGCTTCAGGAGGGGACATTGGGGCAGGTGGCGATGTCACAAATGATGCTGACAAAACAGGTAGTTTGTGCATTTTTGTTTACCTACATCATTTACCTTGTTGAAAACGGTTAATTTGTAAACTATTTCTGGTTACATTTCTTTTGCACTCAGTTCTTCAGCTCTTTAGCTCTTATGGGTATCTAACTCACTTTAGGGAAAGTAAAGGCGGTTGAAAGAAGTGCTGACCACACTATCCCTTCATATGCTGAGGTCACAGACAGGTGAACTCTACTTCACTGGCTCCTTGGACCGTCAGGTTCAAAAAGGAAACTTTATTTTGTTTTTACTTCAGCTGTTTGTTGAAAGACTTTTTTTTTTTTTTCTAGCACCATCAAAATCTCAGCCTGGTATATTCAGTGATTCAGATAATGATTTATTGGATGGACTAGAAGATAAAGGTGCCAAACAGCCTGTCAAAGGAAACACAGGTGTGTTCGTCAAATTGTCTTTAAAATATTTTTGTTAAACTGAAAAATTCATTTTAATGCAGCTTTAATGAAAAAGAATTTATGGTTCTAATTATGTGAATTTTTTTCCAGGCAATTCTGAAGAGTTGCGGCCTGCTAGATCGGTGTTGGATAGTTTGCTAGGGAAAAGTAACTCTGTTGCCTCGTCATTGTTGGAGACTAAAGAGAAGAAACCATTTGTTCTGGACAGTAAATACAGTAGCTCTGCTACAGGTAACTGGTGAACTGTCAGGATTTTTAACTTTTCTAACAGGTGTACTATCTGTCAGAATGTATCAGGATTTTGACTTGAGCAAAAAATATTATACAGTGAAAATTTTAACTTTTTAAGTACAGGCTTTATGAAATTATCCCCAGGAGCTCCTGCTAATAAAGACGAGGAAGATGATTTTAATTTTGGCAACTACCAGCCCTCTGCTGCATCAGGGTCAAGGCCAAACTCTCGTAGATCTGTCAGGTTAACTACACTTGATATTTATTTTTTATTTTATGTTTGCTAAAATAATATTAATTAGTGTTGTGTTATTCCGGGATACTTTTTAAAATTCAATACTTGCTCAGCATTGGTATCTGGTCTTTCTCTTTTTCAGATTCCAAGATGATGATGATATTTTTGGCATTGATACTCGCCCCTCCCCCAGGGTTAAGTCGCCAGGTGCGAAAACAAAACCCCCAGCTGACATGGATTGGCTGGAGCTGGCCACCAACGCAGGTGTGTCCACATCGACGTCCCCAACTGCCTCACTGGTCACCCCCGCGGCCCCCACACCTGCGCCGGCTGCTGCCACACCCAGCACGGCAGCTAAGCCACCGCCCGCAAACAAACTACCAGAAAGCCCTCGGAAGAGTCAACCCAAGGACGTCACACCTGCCAAACCGGCAGCCAGCACGACCCAAAGTGCTAAAGACTGGCTCGGGCTGGGTGATTCGGAATCAGATGAAGAATTGTTCAAGCCCAAAAAATCATCAGTCCACAGCGCCTCGTTACCTCACAGTCCTGCCCTGTCAGCACAAGCCTCGCCTCGTATCTACCCGAAGAAGCCTAAAAAAGACTCCCCCTCGCCTAAGACCTCCACTGTGGTTAAGGAGGATGAGGATCAAGATGATTGGCTAGCCAGGGCTAGAAGCAGGAGGCAGCAGATGTTGGCTAAAGAGCCGAGCAAAGACCCGGATTCTTTATTGGCTCCAGCCAAGAATGAAAGCCTTGAACTTCAAGCTTCAAGAGTACCACAATCTGGATTAAAGTATGCATTCAATTTTTAATAGGAATTTACTGTAAAAAAAACATTAAAAAAAAAATAACCCATTGCAGTTTTAGACAGAAAAATCATGGACTTTTCTAAAATAACCTTAGCCATAATAATTTATGTGTCACTTTTGGTGGTATTAGCAATTTGAATGTAAGCTTATGAAAAAATATAAACATTTATTTTGTAAATCTTTCCTCAGTATAACTGTTATTTATAATATTGATGTTATAATTTAATATCAATATAATTTCAAAAGTATATATTAAAAATTCTTTTTTAGTGCTGATGTTTCAAATACAATTGCTCCGGAGCCATTGGAGACTTCAAGTGGTCATCTCATATTTCCCCAAACCAAGTCTTCAGGGTGAGTTGTGTTGGTCTTTCATTAAGTCTGATATTGTCAGTTGTGTTGGTCTTTCATTAAGTCTGATATTGTCAGTTGTGTTGGTCTTTCATTAAGTCTGATATTGTCAGTTGTGTTGGTCTTTCATTAAGTCTGATATTGTGAGTTGGGTTGGTCTTTCATTAAGTCTGATATTGTCAGTTGTCTAGCGCTTTCATTCAGTCTGATATTGTCAGTTGTGCTGGTCTTTCATTAAGTCTGATATTGTCAGTTGTCTAGCGCTTTCATTCAGTCTGATATTGTCAGTTGTGTTGGTCTTTCATTAAGTCTGATATTGTGAGTTGGGTTGGTCTTTCATTAAGTCTGATATTGTCAGTTGTGTTGGTCTTTCATTAAGTCTGATATTGTCAGTTGTGTAGTGCTTTCATTAAGTCTGATATTGTCAGTTGTTTTGGTTTTTGGTTAAGTCTTATATTGTGAGTTGTGTAGCGCTTTCATTAAGTCTGATATTGTGAGTTGTGTTGGTCTTTCATTAAGTCTGATATTGTGAGTTATGTAGCGCTTTCATTAAGTCTGATATTGTCAGTTGTGTTGGTCTTTCATTAAGTCTGATATTGTGAGTTGGGTTGGTCTTTCATTAAGTCTGATATTGTGAGTTGTGTTGCTCTGATATTGTAGATGTTACCTCTGTAGTAGCCTATACAATAGCAAGGAAACATTTAATTTGAATTTTAAATTTTTTTTTAAAAATTCGGGACTTAATGTTTGATAAGGTGTAATTTTTTATGTTATTATGTCAGCAGTTAATTTTTAACCATTTTTTTTTACACCAGTGGCCTCAGTTGGGAGTCACCAAGAACAGCTTTAAGTCTTACTGTTAGTGGGAGTCAGTCTGATGGTAAATATTTCACTGTTTGTACTAGAAATCCCAGGTTTCAATTGGGCCAAATATCAGAAATTTTAACCTTATTTATGAATATCTTGCATGAAGAAAATGAACCATCTTTTTTAATCGTTACAAAAATTGAATCTCTTGTCACATGTAAAAAAAAAAAAAACATTTTGAAAACGTCTTCCTCATGAAATTGAATCTCATCCAGGTAAAAATGTTGTAACGCCAAACATATCATCAGATCCCAGATTAAAGTTTTCTTCTGCCACGTTTAAACAGGAGCAGGTAACTATCTACTCTTTGTTAATTGATCTACTTGATTTATATGTTGAGAATTTGTGGATAAAAAGTTGACTACATGTTTGTTTAATGTTAAGACTGCATTGCTATACTTATTGGTGTAAAACTTTTTCCATTCTTAATGTGTCAAAATATTTTCCTAGCTACCTAATGAGGCAGTTGTAAGTTCGTCATCACGACCATTGCCATCTGAGCAGCTGTCTCAGTTTCAACCACAGCTCTTTCAACAACAACAGCAACAACAACAGCAACTACAACAGCAGCAACAACAGCAGCAGCAACAACAGCAATTTATGCTGCAACAGCAACTCTTCCAACAACAGCAGCTCCAGAAACAGCAAGAACAGCAACAGCTACAGCAGTACAGCCAGCTGGCAGAGGAGAAGAAAAACCAGCTCCTACAGCAGCAGCAGGAGCTGCAGCGACAGCTCAACTCTGTACAGCTGCAGTATGACTCTGTGTCCAAAGCTCAGGTACTCACGTCTGTGATGTTGGGCTTTATAGCTAAAGCTGACAACCAAAGTTTTTGTTATGACCTAAAGATCAGTTACCAGAAGACATGTGGAAATTGTTTTTTTTTTACCATGGATAAATGTACTGTATATACAAAAACATTAATTAATTTTTGCCATCCTATGTCAGGTATCTATTAAAGCTAAGTGGACATTGGTTCTTTAAAGCTACAAAAAGTACTAGATACTTACATTTTTATTTACCATTTGAGGGAAAATAGCTTCAAATATTAACTTAAAAAAAATGTAACATCTGTATAATTACTTTGACTTTGTGGTTTAAAATTTCAGCCCCCACCAAGTACTCTCATACCATCTTACGCACAAATCACAGCCTCCATAGATATGCCAGACTCTCTACCTTCTGCTCAGGCCAAGGTAAATAAAAATAACATGGGTCCTTATTTTAGGATCTTATTTTATTTTTTGGCTTTGTTTAAAAAAAAAAACTCAGAGAAACTTGCGTAGGTGTATCTAATTTTAGATGCTTTATGAAGCATAGCTGAAATATTTCAATGTTTTGTATGTCCTAACCACTGTGAACCAATAAAGAAATGTTAAAATGTTTGTAGATCAAGAAACTGGAACTAGAGAAGAGCTACACCGAGTCTTTACTTGACAGCCTGAGACGCTGGTACAATGATGAGATGCTTGCTGTGGAGAATTCCTACAAGTAAGATTTTTAGTATTACTTGATAAAGTTTGTTGTCTTTCTTTACTTCAGTTGCTTTTCTCATACATCACTGGGTCTTTTGGCTTAGTTACAGTATAAGTAGGTTTGGCTTAGAGAAATAATTCTACCATCAAAAAGTGGAATAAATAGGTTTGGCTTAGAAATATAATTCAACTAGCAAAAAATGGAATACAGAATTTAAAAATAAAATTCATTCACCAAATGTAATAATACAAAAGGATACATATTTTTTAAAATTTCTTTCATCTCATTTGAGTTCTTTAAAAAATAAAAAAAATTTGTTTCCAGGAATAGACTTCAGATTATAGAAGAATCAAATAGGAAAAAAGAATCCAGGTGAATTGAAATATGACAATAAAATAATACTTCACAACTTGCATTTTAAAAAAAATGTTAACTTCCAGAATATACAAAATTAGTATTATTTTTTAAAATGTTTAATTTTTAATCCATCAGATTACGCGAAGAAAATGAAGAACTGATGCAGCAAAATCTGGCCAGGGTCAGACAACTGGAGCAGGAGAAGAGTGACACCATCACTGCGCATTACCGCAAGCTGGAAGACATGGAGAGGGAGAGAACTCAGGACTTGGAAAGGTTAAAAGAGCAACACAGGTATTAAGCATACAGCAGCAGTAAAAAACTAACTGATTGAAGTCATTTTACACATTTGTACTACTCATAAGTTAACACAAAGAATCATTTATTGTTTTAGAAACTGGTAATAATGAGTGTTAAAGTAATTATTAAATTTAATTATTTAATCAGGCTGTCAACTTTGGCTCTAAAGAGAGAGCATGAAGAAGCTCTAGAAAGGTTGGCCAGGGCTAAAAATGAAGAGATCAACCTGGTGGCTAATGCTAACGATACATCCAGGTAAGTTTGGGTGTGTGACCAATGCTAACGATACATCCAGGTAAGTTTGGCTGTGTGACTAATGCTAACTATACATCCAGGTAAGTTTGGCTGTGTGACTAATGCTAACTATACATCCAGATAAGTTTGGCTGTGTGACTCAAACCAGGTAGAGTGTGCTAGATCACCTACAACAAGATAAATCTGGCTGTACCATACGAATGAGGTGACAAAGTAAATGTAACTTGACTGCGTGAATGATGTGTATGACTCAGATAGCCTATGCTGTTTGACGCAGCATGAGGTAGTATTCTCACCTGAGCCGTGTCGTTGAACCTGTCCCCAGGAGCCTGACCGCTGTGGTGGAGCAGATCCAGAACAATGCCAGAGACCTGGGGGAGCTGCAGTTGAAGCTGGACACCTGGAACAGGCAGGGGCTGGATGAAAGGGAGATCAATCTCAGGTCCAAAGATGAGCAGTTGAGAAGTAAGGGAAATCATTTCTTTTTTCACATCATAAGTAAATTTTAAAATGTTTAAAGCTTATAAATTAAAATAAATTTTAAAAATCTTTAAAGTATTACAGTATTGAAGCCCTCTATCACACTTTGGTAGTTAGGTAAATTTGATTTTTAAAAATTAGTCTTAAAGTACTATTTTTATTTATTCTAATGGCATAGTCTTTAAACTATTGGATAGTTTCTGAGCATTTGCCAAATTGAAATTGAAATTTTATTCAGGGAAAAACTAAATTAATTATAAAATTATTTAATTAAAAGCTAACGTGTTCCTTCAGAAGAGTTAAAAAGTTTTCTACTCTAAAAATTCCTCCACATATGTATGCATAAATGGAATGCTTCATTGTAAATAATTAAAATACTCAAAATAGTCAAGGTGCAAAGCTACTTAAATCCTGGTGGCAGGACAGATATTAGCTCGTCTAATTGTCTGAAGTTTATATAAAAATGTAGTTAAATAAAGATAGTGTAATCAACTTTTTGTAGTTCTCCAAGAGAGACTCACCAGACAGGAGAGTGACAATGAAAGAGAGAGGAAGAAACTAGAGGAACTGATAGCACGTATGGAGTCACAGTTACGTGAACAGACACGGATAATGGAAGAGGTGGGAACTGCTGAAACTTCTAATTTTAAACTTTGCTGCTTGTATTTAACTTGGCTATAAATAGATCTTAGACTTGGTATTTGAACTTAGTTTCTTAAAGCTAATTTTTTTGTTATTATCTTCTCCATCCAACTGTAGTACTGATTTGAGAAAGTTAGTTATTTAGTACTGCCTGTAATATTTTTTATTTTGATGGTTATGTTATGTGGAATGTATTCCAGGAGCGCTGGAAACTGAAACAAGACCAAAGTAGAGTGGAGGCCCAGCAGAGGTCTTTAGAGGATGAGAGGAGGCTGTGGCAGGAGCAGCAGGCCAGGGAGAGGGGTACAGTAGAGAGGGCACGGGTAGGTGGAGTAGATTACATCTTGGGTAGGTGGAGTAGATTACATCTGGGGGTAGGTGGAGTAGATTACATCTGGGGGTAGGTGGAGTAGATTAGGCCCAGCAGAGGTCTTTAGAGGATGAGAGGAGGTTGTGGCAGGAACAGCAGGCCAGGGAGAGGGGTACAGTGGAGAGGGCACGGGTAGGTGGAGTAGATTACATCTTGGGTAGGTGGAGTAGATTACATCTGGGGGTAGGTGGAGTAGATTACATCTGGGGGTAGGTGGAGTAGATTAGGCCCAGCAGAGGTCTTTAGAGGATGAGAGGAGGCTGTGGCAGGAGCAGCAGGCCAGGGAGAGGGGTACAGTGGAGAGGGCACGGGTAGGTGGAGTAGATTACACACATTTTGTTGACATGGTAGGTGGAGTAGATTACATCTGTGGGTAGGTGGAGTAGATTAGGCCCAGCAGAGATCTTTAGAGGATGAGAGGAGGTTGTGGCAGGAGCAGCAGGCCAGGGAGAGGGCTACAGTGGAGAGGGCAAGGGTAGGTGAAGTAGATTACATCTGTGGGTAGGTGGAGTAGATTACACACATTTTGTAGGTAGGTGGAGTAGATTACACACATTTTGTTGACATGGTAGGTGGAGTAGATTACACACATTTTGTTGACATGGTAGGTGGAGTAGATTACATTGTGTGGGCATGGGTAGGTGGAGTAGATTACATTCTGTGGGCACGGGTAGGTGGAGTAGATTACACACATTCTGTGGGTTGGTGGAGTAGATTACATCTGTGGGTAGGTGGAGTAGATTACATTCTGCGGGTAGGTGGAGTAGATTACATTGTGTGGGCATGGGTAGGTGGAGTAGATTACATTCTGTGGGCATGGGTAGGTGGAGTAGATTACACACATTCTGTGGGTTGGTGGAGTAGATTACATCTGTGGGTTGGTGGAGTAGATTACATCTGTGGGTAGGTGGAGTAGATTACATCTGTGGGTTGGTGGAGTAGATTACATCTGTGGGTTGGTGGAGTAGATTACATCTGTGGGTAGGTGGAGTAGATTACATTCTGTGGGCATGGGTAGGTGGAGTAGATTACATTCTGTGGGCATGGGTAGGTGGAGTAGATTACATTCTGTGGGTTGGTGGAGTAGATTACATTCTGTGGGCATGGGTAGGTGGAGTAGATTACATTCTGTGGGCATGGGTAGGTGGAGTAGATTACATCTGTGGGTTGGTGGAGTAGATTACATTCTGTGGGCATGGGTAGGTGGAGTAGATTACATCTGTGGGTTGGTGGAGTAGATTACATTCTGTGGGCATGGGTAGGTGGAGTAGATTACATTCTGTGGGCACGGGTAGGTGGAGTAGATTACACACATTCTGTGGGTTGGTGGAGTAGATTACATCTGTGGGTTGGTGGAGTAGATTACATCTGTGGGTAGGTGGAGTAGATTACATTCTGTGGGCATGGGTAGGTGGAGTAGATTACATTCTGTGGGCACGGGTAGGTGGAGTAGATTACACACATTCTGTGGGTAGGTGGAGTAGATTACACACATTCTGTGGGTTGGTGGAGTAGATTACATCTGTGGGTAGGTGGAGTAGATTACATTCTGTGGGCATGGGTAGGTGGAGTAGATTACATTCTGTGGGCACGGGTAGGTGGAGTAGATTACACACATTCTGTGGGTAGGTGGAGTAGATTACACACATTCTGTGGGTTGGTGGAGTAGATTACATCTGTGGGTTGGTGGAGTAGATTACATCTGTGGGTAGGTGGAGTAGATTACATCTGTGGGTAGGTGGAGTAGATTACATTCTGTGGGCATGGGTAGGTGGAGTAGATTACATCTGTGGGTTGGTGGAGTAGATTACATCTGTGGGTTGGTGGAGTAGATTACATTCTGTAGGCATGGGTAGGTGGAGTAGATTACATCTGTGGGTTGGTGGAGTAGATTACATCTGTGGGTTGGTGGAGTAGATTACATTCTGTAGGCATGGATGCTATTTTGTATTATGGCATACTTAAGTGTAGTAGATTACATTTCTCATAGATTACAAAGTGGGTGGTGGTAATAGTGCCCATGATTAAGCGTGGTGTATAACATTTGTTATACAGTGATTAAATTTCTTGAACATATGTACATACAAATTTACATTGTATTACATCTGTAGCTCAGAGAGCATGATTGAGTATGAAGTAGGTTTTACTTGAATTTTCTTTGTATTTAGTTCTATTAAACTGAATTAGTATTCACGCTATTGCATAATACACATTTATTTTAAAATAATGGCTTTTAGAGTTAAAAGTTTTAATTGAATTACAGGAAAGTTTTCTGGAAGAGCAGCGCTACTCCCTTCAACAAATTGGGGAGGAACGTCGCATGCTGGCTGAGGAGAGGACCAGGTTCAACATCGAACAGAAGACAATTAGAGAGAAAATAAATCAGGACCAGATCAAACGGAGCCAGGTAAAGGGAGAGTGGTGCATTGTGGGTAGGAGTGGTGTTATGTGGGTGGTGGTGGCGATGTCAGTGGTAGTTGTGGTGGTATAACATTGGTGGTAGTCATCATCATCACTGGCCGTCAGCCCTGATGTATGAGTCACCAACCTCTATTCCTGTGCCATCTTATCAACCTGACACTAGGTGAAGCACATCTTTTTGTGGCTTCAGCCTCAAAGCTCTAGTCACCAGGTGTTTTTTGGTTGGCCTTTCATGCGCTGTCCTTGAATGGGTGGTAGTGGTGATCAAATGGTAGTGGTGATATAATGGTAGTGGTGATATAATGGTAGTGGCGATATAATGGTAGTGGCGATAGAATGGTAGTGGCGATATAATGGTAGTGGCGATAGAATGGTTGTGGTGATAGAATGGTATTGGTGATAGAATAGTAATATTGTTAGTATTCTTGTTACATGGGGAATATTATTGATCAACATCTATTCAATTGGTGTTGCAGTAAATCTCCTACTTGGGTTAAGTTGAAAGGTTGCAACTATATTTGTGAATATGGTGACAGATCACATCTCATAGTGTGATCATAGTACTACTTGCTGTTGCCATTACCTTCAAGTGTTAGATACATCTCTCTGGTACGAGCCATAGTGCGAGACTTGTTCTGTGTTTCAGGCCGAGGCAGAGTATGAGATCCTCTCCAGGACAACAGCGGAGGAGAAGCTGGCCCGCTCCAACAGGATGAGTGAGCTGCAGAGGGAGGAGGAGAGAATAGCCAGTGAGAGGAATAAGCTGGAGAGGGAGAAGGCACAGCTGGAGCTGGAGCAGGAGAAGCTGGCCAAGCAGGCACGTCAGATTCGGGAGCAGTCGGAGCAGATTGATCATGTGACTGAGGTATGCTGGGTAGCTAAATATGCTTGGTTTGGGGTAATGGCGTCAGCTCAACAGATTGATCATGTGACTGAGGTATGCTGGGTAGCTAAATATGCTTGGTTTGGGGTAATGGCGTCAGCTCAACAGATTGATCATGTGACTGAGGTATGCTGGGTAGCTAAATATGCTTGGTTTGGGGTAATGGCGTCAGCTCAACAGATTGATCATGTAACTGAGGTATGCTGGGTAGCTAAATATACTGGGTTTGGGGTAATGGCGTCAGCTGACACTTTTTTGTTGTTGGGCTGGGACATGGGAACTAGAGAGAACAGGGAATAATACAGTTTAAAGGAGGCAGAGTTTAGTGGTAGAGTTAACCCATTCATGTACAGTTCTGGCCACATTCCTTCCATATGCCTTACATATGCCTTACATACGCACACTGATAAACACTTACTCACCTGCCTCTATGATATCATAAAGGATGATTAGATTTTGTTTGTTTTTCTTTTACCTATGTCCACCTGGGGAGTTACTATGATCTGAAGGTTAGGTACATGTAACATGAGTAAAATTATCCCATATTAAGTTAAGGTTATATGAAAATCCAGGTGTCAGTCATTAGAATTGGTGCGTTAGCGTTGTGAACACCATCCTAATACAGTAACCATTGATATTCTGTCCTCCAGCTAAATGCTAGTAACATGAATCTTACAGTAGTAATACTAGAAGAATTGTGGTGTTATTGTATTGAGTGGTGGTGTTGTATTTAGTGGTGTTGTTGTATTTAGTGGTGTTGTTGTATTGAGTGATGTTGTTGTGTTGAGTGGTGTTGTATTGAGTGGTGTTGTATTGAGTGATGTTGTATTGAGTGATGTTGTTGTATTGAGTGATGTTGTTGTGTTGAGTAGTGTTGTAATGAGTGGTGTTGTTGTATTGAGTGATGTTGTATTGAGTGATGTTGTTGTATTGAGTGATGTTGTTGTATTGAGTGATGTTGTTGTGTTGAGTGATGTTGTATTGAGTGATGTTGTTGTATTGAGTGATGTTGTATTGAGTGATGTTGTTGTATTAAGTGTTGATGTTGTATTGAGTGATGTTGTTGTATTGAGTGATGTTGTATTATTTAAAATTGTTCAGGCTGCACGTAGAGCCCAGCAAGAAGGGGAACAAGCCATGGAAGAAGCCATGGGCTACAACACACAGATGGAGAGGAGAGAGAACGAGATACAGAAACAGTTGGGGAACTTGAAGCTTATGGAGGAACACATCACCCAGGTACTTTACCTGTCTTCATTACATCACACATTACCCAGGTACTTTACCTGTCTTCATTTCATTACACATTACCCAGGTATCTTACCTGTCTTCATTACATCACACATTACCCAGATACCTTACCTGTCTTAGTTACATCACTCATTACCCAGGTATCTTACCTGCCTTCATTACATCACACATTACCCAGGTACCACACACTACCCAGGTATCTTACCTGTCTTAGTTACATCACACACTACCCAGGTATCTTACCTGTCTTAGTTACATCACACATTACCCAGGTACCTAACCTTTCTTCATTACATTATGCACATTATCCAGACAGCTTACTTATTTTAAATTACATCTCCCACATTATCCTGGTGCCTTACCTGTCTTTGTTACATCAAAAATTACCCAGATACTTTACCTTTGTCATAACATCACACATTATAAAATGTTTTTTTTTTAAATTAAATACGTTTTCAGCTTAAAATATAATTAGATAATTTAAATTAATCATTTTTATTCAAATCCTAACAGTTGAATATTTTTTGTAGTAAACTAATACGTGTCATGTAACATACACCAAGTTCTATGTTCGTTAAAAGAAATTTAATTTCTCTATCTTTTAGGAGAAACTTCGTCTAGCCAGGGAAAAGAAGGAGATTGAAAACCTGAAAACATCATCTCTCTGTGTCAACTGTCGCTCACCATTGCATGCATCTGTACCAGTCAGTCACCACAATGGTGTGTTTACTCTTAAAGCATGGTTTATAATGTCTGTTTTTGAGACCATTGATAGCCAATTCCCAGCACCTGGGGGGGGGGGGGGGGTGATATGTATGTAATAGAGAGGTTAAGATTGTATTATGTAGCAACCAATATGCTGCTTTAAAATATGCATTATAAAAATTTGTTTGGATTATGGTTATGGACGGTATAGACTAAAATCTTTTTAGTACTGGTCATTGTACGTGTGGCTAGATCTCGGTCAAGTTTCTTTCATTCATCTCTTCAAAACACATCCCACCCCTTAATCCCACTAAATAAAATAGAAAAAATGCTACATAGAAAATATATTAATTTCAAGTGTGCCTTCTTCCCCCACCCCCACCTACTTGGTAGAAAAATTGCTGAAAGAAGCCCTGATGTTTGGCTGAGTGCTGGTTAGTCTTTGTGGCTAGATACTGGTCAGTGTATGTGTGGCTAGATACTGGTCAGTGTATGTGTGGCTAGATACTGGTCAGTGTATGTGTGGCTAGATGCTGGTCAGTGTATGTGTGGCTAGATACTGGTCAGTGTATGTGTGGCTAGGTGCTTGTCAGTGTATGTGTGGCTAGATACTGGTCAGTGTATGTGTGGCTAGATACTGGTCAGTGTATGTGTGGCTAGATGCTGGTCAGTGTATGTGTGGCTAGATACTGGTCAGTGTATGTGTGGCTAGATACTGGTCAGTGTATGTGTGGCTAGATACTGGTCAGTGTATGTGTGGCTAGATACTGGTCAGTGTATGTGTGGCTAGATACTGGTCAGTGTATGTGTGGCTAGATGCTGGTCAGTGTATGTGTGGCTAGATACTGGTCAGTGTATGTGTGGCTAGATACTGGTCAGTGTATGTGTGGCTAGATACTGGTCAGTGTATGTGTGGCTAGATACTGGTCAGTGTATGTGTGGCTAGATACTGGTCAGTGTATGTGTGGCTAGATGCTGGTCAGTGTATGTGTGGCTAGATACTGGTCAGTGTATGTGTGGCTAGATACTGGTCAGTGTATGTGTGGCTAGATACTGGTCAGTGTATGTGTGGCTAGATACTGGTCAGTGTATGTGTGGCTAGATACTGGTCAGTGTATGTGTGGCTAGATGCTGGTCAGTGTATGTGTGGCTAGATACTGGTCAGTGAATGTGTGGCTAGATACTGGTCAGTGTATGTGTGGCTAGATGCTGGTCAGTGTATGTGTGGCTAGATACTGGTCAGTGTATGTGTGGCTAGATACTGGTCAGTGTATGTGTGGCTAGATACTGGTCAGTGTATGTGTGGCTAGGTGCTTGTCAGTGTATGTGTGGCTAGATACTGGTCAGTGTATGTGTGGCTAGGTGCTTGTCAGTGTATGTGTGGCTAGATACTGGTCAGTGTATGTGTGGCTAGGTGCTTGTCAGTGTATGTGTGGCTAGATACTGGTCAGTGTATGTGTGGCTAGATACTGGTCAGTGTATGTGTGGCTAGATACTGGTCAGTGTATGTGTGGCTAGATACTGGTCAGTGTATGTGTGGCTAGATACTGGTCAGTGTATGTGTGGCTAGGTGCTTGTCAGTGTATGTGTGGCTAGATACTGGTCAGTGTATGTGTGGCTAGGTGCTTGTCAGTGTATGTGTGGCTAGACACTGGTCAGTGTATGTGTGGCTAGGTGCTTGTCAGTGTATGTGTGGCTAGATACTGGTCAGTGTATGTGTGGCTAGGTGCTTGTCAGTGTATGTGTGGCTAGGTGCTTGTCAGTGTATGTGTGGCTAGATACTGGTCAGTGTATGTGTGGCTAGGTGCTTGTCAGTGTATGTGTGGCTAGATACTGGTCAGTGTATGTGTGGCTAGGTGCTTGTCAGTGTATGTGTGGCTAGATACTGGTCAGTGTATGTGTGGCTAGATGCTGGTCAGTGTATGTGTGGCTAGATACTGGTCAGTGTATGTGTGGCTAGGTGCTTGTCAGTGTATGTGTGGCTAGATACTGGTCAGTGTATGTGTGGCTAGGTGCTTGTCAGTGTATGTGTGGCTAGATACTGGTCAGTGTATGTGTGGCTAGATGCTGGTCAGTGTATGTGTGGCTAGATACTGGTCAGTGTATGTGTGGCTAGATGCTGGTCAGTGTATGTGTGGCTAGATACTGGTCAGTGTATGTGTGGCTAGATACTGGTCAGTGTATGTGTGGCTAGATGCTTGTCAGTGTATGTGTGGCTAGATGCTGGTCAGTGTATGTGTGGCTAGATACTGGTCAGTGTATGTGTGGCTAGGTGCTTGTCAGTGTATGTGTGGCTAGGTGCTTGTCAGTGTATGTGTGGCTAGATACTGGTCAGTGTATGTGTGGCTAGATACTGGTCAGTGTATGTGTGGCTAGATACTGGTCAGTGTATGTGTGGCTAGATGCTTGTCAGTGTATGTGTGGCTAGATACTGGTCAGTGTATATGTGGCTAGGTGTTGGTCAGTGTATGTGTGACTAGGTGCTTGTCAGTGTATGTGTGGCTAGGTGTTGGTCAGTATATGTGTGGCTAGATGCTGGTCAGTGTATGTGTGGCTAGATACTGGTCAGTGTATGTGTGGCTAGGTGCTTGTCAGTGTATGTGTGGCTAGATACTGGTCAGTGTATGTGTGGCTAGGTGCTTGTCAGTGTATGTGTGGCTAGATACTGGTCAGTGTATGTGTGGCTAGATGCTGGTCAGTGTATGTGTGGCTAGATACTGGTCAGTGTATGTGTGGCTAGATGCTGGTCAGTGTATGTGTGGCTAGATACTGGTCAGTGTATGTGTGGCTAGATACTGGTCAGTGTATGTGTGGCTAGATGCTTGTCAGTGTATGTGTGGCTAGATGCTGGTCAGTGTATGTGTGGCTAGATACTGGTCAGTGTATGTGTGGCTAGGTGCTTGTCAGTGTATGTGTGGCTAGGTGCTTGTCAGTGTATGTGTGGCTAGATACTGGTCAGTGTATGTGTGGCTAGATACTGGTCAGTGTATGTGTGGCTAGATACTGGTCAGTGTATGTGTGGCTAGATGCTTGTCAGTGTATGTGTGGCTAGATACTGGTCAGTGTATGTGTGGCTAGGTGTTGGTCAGTGTATGTGTGACTTGGTGCTTGTCAGTGTATGTGTGGCTAGGTGTTGGTCAGTATATGTGTGGCTAGATGCTGGTCAGTGTATGTGTGGCTAGATACTGGTCAGTGTATGTGTGGCTAGGTGCTTGTCAGTGTATGTGTGGCTAGATACTGGTCAGTGTATGTGTGGCTAGGTGCTTGTCAGTGTATGTGTGGCTAGATACTGGTCAGTGTATGTGTGGCTAGATGCTGGTCAGTGTATGTGTGGCTAGATACTGGTCAGTGTATGTGTGGCTAGATGCTGGTCAGTGTATGTGTGGCTAGATACTGGTCAGTGTATGTGTGGCTAGATACTGGTCAGTGTATGTGTGGCTAGATGCTTGTCAGTGTATGTGTGGCTAGATGCTGGTCAGTGTATGTGTGGCTAGATACTGGTCAGTGTATGTGTGGCTAGGTGCTTGTCAGTGTATGTGTGGCTAGGTGCTTGTCAGTGTATGTGTGGCTAGGTGCTTGTCAGTGTATGTGTGGCTAGATACTGGTCAGTGTATGTGTGGCTAGATACTGGTCAGTGTATGTGTGGCTAGATACTGGTCAGTGTATGTGTGGCTAGATACTGGTCAGTGTATGTGTGGCTAGATACTGGTCAGTGTATGTGTGGCTAGGTGCTTGTCAGTGTATGTGTGGCTAGATACTGGTCAGTGTATGTGTGGCTAGGTGCTTGTCAGTGTATGTGTGGCTAGACACTGGTCAGTGTATGTGTGGCTAGGTGCTTGTCAGTGTATGTGTGGCTAGATACTGGTCAGTGTATGTGTGGCTAGGTGCTTGTCAGTGTATGTGTGGCTAGGTGCTTGTCAGTGTATGTGTGGCTAGATACTGGTCAGTGTATGTGTGGCTAGGTGCTTGTCAGTGTATGTGTGGCTAGATACTGGTCAGTGTATGTGTGGCTAGGTGCTTGTCAGTGTATGTGTGGCTAGATACTGGTCAGTGTATGTGTGGCTAGATGCTGGTCAGTGTATGTGTGGCTAGATACTGGACAGTGTATGTGTGGCTAGGTGCTTGTCAGTGTATGTGTGGCTAGATACTGGTCAGTGTATGTGTGGCTAGGTGCTTGTCAGTGTATGTGTGGCTAGATACTGGTCAGTGTATGTGTGGCTAGATGCTGGTCAGTGTATGTGTGGCTAGATACTGGTCAGTGTATGTGTGGCTAGATGCTGGTCAGTGTATGTGTGGCTAGATACTGGTCAGTGTATGTGTGGCTAGATACTGGTCAGTGTATGTGTGGCTAGATGCTTGTCAGTGTATGTGTGGCTAGATGCTGGTCAGTGTATGTGTGGCTAGATACTGGTCAGTGTATGTGTGGCTAGGTGCTTGTCAGTGTATGTGTGGCTAGGTGCTTGTCAGTGTATGTGTGGCTAGATACTGGTCAGTGTATGTGTGGCTAGATACTGGTCAGTGTATGTGTGGCTAGATACTGGTCAGTGTATGTGTGGCTAGATGCTTGTCAGTGTATGTGTGGCTAGATACTGGTCAGTGTATGTGTGGCTAGGTGTTGGTCAGTGTATGTGTGACTAGGTGCTTGTCAGTGTATGTGTGGCTAGGTGTTGGTCAGTATATGTGTGGCTAGATGCTGGTCAGTGTATGTGTGGCTAGATACTGGTCAGTGTATGTGTGGCTAGGTGCTTGTCAGTGTATGTGTGGCTAGATACTGGTCAGTGTATGTGTGGCTAGGTGCTTGTCAGTGTATGTGTGGCTAGATACTGGTCAGTGTATGTGTGGCTAGATGCTGGTCAGTGTATGTGTGGCTAGATACTGGTCAGTGTATGTGTGGCTAGATGCTGGTCAGTGTATGTGTGGCTAGATACTGGTCAGTGTATGTGTGGCTAGATACTGGTCAGTGTATGTGTGGCTAGATGCTTGTCAGTGTATGTGTGGCTAGATGCTGGTCAGTGTATGTGTGGCTAGATACTGGTCAGTGTATGTGTGGCTAGGTGCTTGTCAGTGTATGTGTGGCTAGGTGCTTGTCAGTGTATGTGTGGCTAGATACTGGTCAGTGTATGTGTGGCTAGATACTGGTCAGTGTATGTGTGGCTAGATACTGGTCAGTGTATGTGTGGCTAGATGCTTGTCAGTGTATGTGTGGCTAGATACTGGTCAGTGTATGTGTGGCTAGGTGTTGGTCAGTGTATGTGTGACTAGGTGCTTGTCAGTGTATGTGTGGCTAGGTGTTGGTCAGTATATGTGTGGCTAGATGCTGGTCAGTGTATGTGTGGCTAGATACTGGTCAGTGTATGTGTGGCTAGGTGCTTGTCAGTGTATGTGTGGCTAGATACTGGTCAGTGTATGTGTGGCTAGGTGCTTGTCAGTGTATGTGTGGCTAGATACTGGTCAGTGTATGTGTGGCTAGATGCTGGTCAGTGTATGTGTGGCTAGATACTGGTCAGTGTATGTGTGGCTAGATGCTGGTCAGTGTATGTGTGGCTAGATACTGGTCAGTGTATGTGTGGCTAGATACTGGTCAGTGTATGTGTGGCTAGATGCTTGTCAGTGTATGTGTGGCTAGATGCTGGTCAGTGTATGTGTGGCTAGATACTGGTCAGTGTATGTGTGGCTAGGTGCTTGTCAGTGTATGTGTGGCTAGGTGCTTGTCAGTGTATGTGTGGCTAGATACTGGTCAGTGTATGTGTGGCTAGATACTGGTCAGTGTATGTGTGGCTAGATACTGGTCAGTGTATGTGTGGCTAGATGCTTGTCAGTGTATGTGTGGCTAGATACTGGTCAGTGTATGTGTGGCTAGGTGTTGGTCAGTGTATGTGTGACTAGGTGCTTGTCAGTGTATGTGTGGCTAGGTGTTGGTCAGTATATGTGTGGCTAGATACTGGTCAGTGTATGTGTGGCTAGGTGTTGGTCAGTGTATGTGTGACTAGGTGCTTGTCAGTGTATGTGTGGCTAGGTGTTGGTCAGTATATGTGTGGCTAGGTGCTGGTCAGTGTATGTGACGAATGCACTACAGATTTTAATATTACCTGACAGGTTTCTACACGCCCCAACCTGTTCCTGCCTCACCTGTCCAGCTCCTCCTGAGCTCATCAGCTCACCAACTAGGAGCTAACCCCCAGCTGGTCCCTAACCCCCTGTCCCACATTGCAGACTCCATTGCAAACGACAGGGCTGTTAGGATGCTGAAAATTCAAGCTATTAAGGTAATTCTTTATCTGATCTTTTAGACTCTAAAATTATTGTAGTTTATTAGACTATATTTTTATTACATTTTTAGTTATTAAGGTAATTCTTTATCTGATCTTTTAAACTCTAAAATTAGTGCAGTTCATTAGATTATATTTTTATTACGTTTTTTTAGTATTAAATTAGAAAGGTTATACAATTTTCTATGGGAAATTTTTTGTTTTGTTTTCTCTAAAGGATAAAGAATATCTTGAGGAGGAAAATTTTTACCTGGAAACTTTACGTCACATGCCATACCATTCAACAACATCAAAATCATGAATTGTTGTAACAAGTAGGCCTATCTATGGTAGTTAACTCTAATTATATCTTCCTAAAATGTTACTTCACATCATCTGCAGATTGTACTGAAGAAGTGACAATGTTTATCTTTTTGTGCATATATTCCACATTTAGCCAAATTAATCATGTAATGGTTTGTTTTTTAAAAGTATTTTTATCTAAAAATGCCAAAAAACTTTTACAATAGAATGTGAAGGTATCGATTAACCTTTATATCTATTTATAGATTCCAAATATTCTGTGATATATTTTTTTATTTTGTAGCTTTAAATTATTGTTTGTGACTACATGTTGTACAAGCAAATGTGTATACAATTTAGCTGTGACCTCACTGGTATATGTAGGGTCTGCAAACTTTGTTCTATCTATAGAGTCAATTTTTTATAAATTATTTTTGCCAAATATATATTTTGTAAACTGTACTTAAGTTTATATTTAATTCAGATGAAAGTTAGAAAGAGAGGTTGTGTGAATATTTGCCTCAATGTGGCAAGTAATTACTTGTCACAGTTGGTGACTGTGACAAGTATTTAAGTCCAGGACTTGTCTGTATTTTAACATGTCATATTTTTTAACACACCTAAAGAAACAGTTCAAGTAACCTTCTGGTAACTTAACTTTTTATTTTGCATAGAATATTTAAAAAATCTTTTTTCATATATATATAGGATATCAAATATGCCACTGCCTTGTACCCTTATGTATCAGGTCTGTACATAGAGTGTATGTAGAGCTCTTGTAGAGGTGTAGCCAGAGTGAGCAGGCTGGTTGCATTTAACTTAATGAATTGTATACGAACAGAGCAGCCCAGTCACCATAATTTATGGGTAATATTCTTAGTATATTTTTACTTTTTACCCCTTTAACAGGTAAAATGAAACACTGGCCAAATATGATTTAGAATCAGGTGCTTTGTTTTAAATAATTTGTCAAAATTGTCATTTATAGATTATATTTCTATAATTATAAGTAAATTATATATTCCTATAAATAAATAATCTTCCTGTAAATATATTATTTTATTATGAATGGATTATATTCCTATAAATAGTCTAATATGGTAACCTTGTACTAAAGGAACAGTTCATTGACACATATATGTTTATATAATGTCTTGCTGAATTAAATTTTTACTACAAAACTTAATATTAAAAGAGATATTTTGAAATATATTTAATATGATAATAAATAAATACAAAATAGCAATTATTTTTTCTTGATCACCTGACTGATTTCAGCAAGATAGGCTGTTTAAATGTTAGCTGTTCTGTTTTGGAGGCTGTTTAAATGTTAGCTGTTGGCTAGCCATTGTGACACATGTTGATGTAGGCTCCAGTGGCTGTGTTGGCTGTGTGACACATCCAGGTACCCTATGGCCTCACCTGGGACATTGGTCCTGTTTGATGATTCATCTTTTGAACATTTCGTTACTGGAATCATCTTATGGGGGTTTAGTGTTCTTTACCAGCTGTTGTCTAAGTGGGCTCAGTACATGGCAGGTTTGGCTGGATAGGAAGATGGTTCATTGGCTAGGTTGACGTTTGATGTTTTGACTTGTGAAGTTGGTCCATTGGCCAGTTGACTTGTAAAGTTGGTCTGTTGGCCAGTTGACTTGTGAAGATGGTTCATCGGCCAGTTGACTTGTGGAGTTGGTTCATTGGCCAGTTGTCTTGTAAAGTTGGTCTGTTGGCCAGTTGACTTGTGAAGATGGTTCATCGGCCAGTTGACTTGTGAAGATGGTTCATTAGCTAGTTAACTTGTGAAGTTGGTTCATTTGCCAGTTGACTTGTGAAGTTGGTTCATTGGCCAGGTGACTTGTGAAGTTGGTTCATCGGCCAGTTGACTTGTGAAGATGGTATGTAACAGGTGGACTAATTACAGTAAATTTTTGGGGCATGTTGTTACAGTAAAAATTTGTATTAAATTTTTTGGCTTTTAAAAAGACATCAACTGAATAATGAATTGTCACAGATTATGATGTTTTCCCATTCATGTAAATATACATGAGTTTATTAATGTAGTGCATACACACAGTAACTGGTTGCCTCAGGCAACAGATTTACACATTTATCAATATTTTGTACTGCCTTATTCCTTGATTAAAGTTGTTGTAACTTAATTAAACAAATTAAAATATTTCTATATGAATGTATACTGTGTTCTGGATTGTTAGAAAAGCCAATTACATTTTATTTTATGTCCAATTAATGAATTTTACCTAGAGGCTGAATAAAGCCAGGCAAAAAAATTAGGTTCTCTCTCTGTTGACTTGGGGGTCATGTAGAAATGACGTGTTGTGCTTAGGAATAGAATGGGGTTAAGATTTGGGTAGAATGGGGTTAAGATTTGGGTAGAATGGGGTTAAGATTTGGGGTGGAATGAGGTTAAGATTTGGGGTGGAATGGGGTTAAGATTTGGGGTGGAATGGGATTAAGATTTGGGGTGGAATGGGGTTAAGATTTGGGGTGGAATGGGATTAAGATTTGGGGTGGAATGGGGTTAAGATTTGGGGTGGAATGAGGTTAAGATTTGGGGTGGAATGGGGTTAAGATTTGGGGTGGAATGGGATTAAGATTTGGGGGGGAATGGGGTTAAGATTTGGGGTGGAATGGGGTTAAGATTTGGGGTGGAATGGGGTTAAGATTTGAGTAGAATATTGGGGTTAAGGCTTGATATAGAATGGGGTTATAAGGGTAGAATGGGGTTAAGACTTGGGATAAAACGGGGTTAAAACTTGGGGTAGAATGGGTTTAAAACTTTGGGACGAAGGTGTGTCAAGAAATTATTTTTTTTAAAAACCTAGATAATTTGCATTTTGGAAACCTTTCCGGGGATGTGTGGACTGAATTGTGCGACGTCACTTATGGTAGGGGTGTGACTTTAGGTGCCAGTGCTCAAGACAATAGGGTAAAAATCTGCTAAAATATCGTGACCTCTTGTATGGACCGCCCTGCCATTGAGATGCGATGTTTGACCGAACGTCTCATGTTAGTGGTAGTAGTTGTGTCACCGGGGTAGATCTGCTCTGTCAAACGTCAGATTTACCTAATGCTTTGTTGGATCAGCTAGGTCAAAATGTCCCACGAAGAAATACGTCAGGTCAAGATGACCTACGAGGAGGTCATGTCAAGATGATCTAGGAAAATAAGGTCAGGTCAAGCTGACCTAAAAATACACATAATCCTTTTTAAACAATAAACTAAGATCAGTAACTCATTGAAATGAGTTTTTTTTATTTCTATATCAGCTTATCTACCCCTAATCTTCCACACACCCCCTCCCCTCTCCTCACTGTCCGGTTAGTTCAAGGCCACCTTTGACGTCTGCGCTGAGCCTTTATTGCTGTCCACCTTATTGCTGTCCGGCATCACCGACTGTCTCTTCTTGCTCTCCAACGGCTTACCCCCCACGGGGCTGACATTCGCGGTCCCGGGCTCCTTCTTGACGTCATCCTGTTTGGAGTCGGACGGCTTTGGGCCTGTTTTGGGCGACATCAGACGTAAGGTGGCGTCCGTGTCGGATCCGGGCGTGCCGGAACTCGAGCTCGTCGATGACGCGCGGTCCATGGGCACGGCGTTGGCTGCTTTAGAGGCGGATTCGGACATTTTGCTGACCGGAAATTTCCACGGGAATTTCTCGCCGCGCGGGTCGAGCGAGACGATCTCCCGCCCGTTGAGGGTGATTGGTTTGAACGTGGCCGCGTCTATAAATAGCAACACGGGGATTCCCCTGATTCCAAATTCGGCAGCGACCGCTTCCTGTGAATGAGCAAACAATTGATGATAAAAGAGAATAGGGTCAACAGTTTGGTTAGCCGTACCACTCCAGTATATAATTGCTTTATAAACGAAATCATAAACGTAATACGAAACCACACATCGATTCTTCGTGTAATTAAAATCTTAATCTCCGCATGGTTATCGTGAGTTCGAAACCCTCTTAATTGACCACAAGGTTACCAAGCTCATAACTCCAACCAGCTTATGATAGCAACCAGGATATGATGCCAACTCGCCTATAAAAAACAACACACTTATAACACCAAACCAATTTGTGACATCAACCCGCTTATGACGCCAACCTGCATTTTACCCCAACCCGCTCACACACTAACTCACTTAAAACTGCAACCCGCTTATGACACCAACCCACTTATAACACCAGCCCACTTATAATACCAACCCATTTATGACACCAACCCGCTTATAACACCAACCCACTTACAACACCAACCACCATATATTTATGACACCAGCCCGCTAATAACGCTAATAACGCCAACCCACTTATAATACCAACCCATGTATGACACCGACCCACTTAAGACACCAACCCGCATTTTACACCAACCACCGTATAGAATACCAACCCGTTTTTCTGAATCATTAAAGTCAATAGCCAACCACGGCATCTTGGAGAAGTATTGCTTGAAGGACAACTCGTTGTAGTCGAAGCTGACGAAGACCACCTCGAACTGTTTGCCGGCACGCTTGACCTCGTCATAGAGCAGGTTCAGCTGGGGGGTGAACATCTTGCACGGGGGGCACCAGTTGGCTGCAAAGTACAGGCCTGGGGGTGGGGGTGGGATGGGGGGGGTGAACATCTTGCACGGGGGGCACCAGTTGGCTGCAAAGTACAGGCCTGGGGGTGGGGGTGGGATGGGGGGGTGAACATCTTGCACGGGGGGCACCAGTTGGCTGCAAAGTACAGGCCTGGGGGTGGGGGTGGGGTGGGGGGGAGTGGGGGGTGAAAATCTTGCACGGGGGGCACCAGTTGGCTGCAAAGTACAGGCCTGGGGGTGGGGGGGGGGGGAGTGGGGGTGGGGGGTGAACATCTTACACGGGGGGCACCAGTTGGCTGCAAAGTACAGGCCTGGGGGTGGGGGTGGGATGGGGGGGTGAACATCTTGCACGGGGGGCACCAGTTGGCTGCAAAGTACAGGCCTGGGGGTGGGGGTGGGGTGGGGGGGAGTGGGGGGTGAAAATCTTGCACGGGGGGCACCAGTTGGCTGCAAAGTACAGGCCTGGGGGTGGGGGGGGGAGTGGGGGTGGGGGGTGAACATCTTACACGGGGGGCACCAGTTGGCTGCAAAGTACAGGCCTGGGGGGTGGGGTGGGGGTGGGGGGGTGAACATCGTACACGGGGGGCACCAGTTGGCTGCAAAGTACAGGCCTGGGGGGTGGGGGGTGGGGGGGTGGGGGGTGAACATCTTACACGGGGGGCACCAGTTGGCTGCAAAGTACAGGCCTGGGGGTGGGGGGGGGGAGTGGGGGGGGTGAACATCTTACACGGGGGGCACCAGTTGGCTGCAAAGTACAGGCCTGGGGGGGGGGAGTGGGGGTGGGGGGTGAACATCTTACACGGGGGGCACCAGTTGGCTGCAAAGTACAGGCCTGGGGGGGGTGAACATCTTACATGGGGGGCACCAGTTGGCTGCAAAGTACAGACCTGGGGGGTGGGGGTGGGGTGGGGTGAACATCTTACATGGGGGGCACCAGTTGGCTGCAAAGTACAGGCCTAGGGGGTGGGGGGTGGGGGAGGGGGTGAACATCTTACATGGGGGGCACCAGTTGGCTGCAAAGTACAGGCCTGGGGGTGGGGGGTGGAGGGGGGAGGGGGGGTGAACATCTTACACGGGGGGCATCAGTTGGCTGCAAAGTACAGGCCTGGGGGGTGGGGGGGGTGAACATCTTACACGGGGGGGCACCAGTGTGGGGGGGGGGGGGGGTATATGACAGTGTTGGGGGTGGTGGTGGTGAACATCTTACATGGTTACATCAGTTGGCTGCAAAGTGCAGGGGGGGGGACGACGTGATAGTTGGGGTTTTTTTGGGGGGGGTGAACATCTTACCTCAGGATACCAGTTGGCTACAAAGTACAGGCCTATCGTGCTATTGTGGGGGGGGGGGGGGTATATGATAGTTGGTGATGGGCGGGGACGAAACACTTATACGGGGGGGGGGTGCACCAATTGGCTGCAAAATACAAGTCTAGTGGAGGCACAGTTTAGGCCTAGACACATAACAACTAATAGATTAAAGGGGGGTAGTAATCAGGGGCGTAGCGAGGGGGGGGGGGGCGGGGGTGCGGACCGCACCGGGTGACACCATTTAGGGGGGTGACACCAAGGCAAAAAATAGCAAAATATATAGAGAAAAACTCGAGGGGGGTGCAAATCGAAAGTTTGAGGGGGGGGGGGTGCAAATCGAAAATTTGAAAGTTTGTCCCTGGGAAGGGTCTCTATGCCTCTGGGGGGGGGGGGGGTGACACCATTAAGTGCCGCACCGGGTGACACCCGACCTCGCTACGCCACTGGTAGTAATCTTGTATAGGAGGGGGTGGGCATAGTTTGACGTATATTTTTTTTAGTAGAATTTAAATAGAGAGATGCCTGAAATAAACTCCCTGTCCCCTAGAAGACCCAAGATACCCCCCCCCCATCACGAATATATAGACGGAACCTCCCCCCTCACAAACTGTACTCACCTATAATCCCCTCCTTGCCTTCGTCAACAGCTAGCGCCACTGGGCTGATACTGTCGCCGCTGGATTTCTTCAAGACGTCTCCCAGCAACATCTCCAAAGGATGGGCTTTCTTCTTCTTCTTACCCCCCTCAGTTTTTTTACTCAGTCCGCGGGTCGAGTGGGAGCTCGCATTTTTAGCCATCCACCTTACTTTAACCTAATCTTACAACAACAAAAAAACTTCAACCCTAGGAGCTTAAACTTTATAGAAATGTTTTTTAACTTTCTAAAAAATGACGTCATTTCCTGGGTTAATATTATCATTGTGAAAATCCGATTTAAAATTAGCAACTTAAAAAGTATTATCATTTTGGTATTATAAAGAATTTGACTATCAAGCTTTGTGTTAATTTGTTAGCAGTTAAACCCGAAGGCTTATTAATTAATACACACACATACAGTGTTTCTTCCAGAATTTTTTTCTCGTTGGGGGGGGGGGGGCACTTGTTAAAAGTATATATTTTCTGTATAAATTCCATTTCATTGGGGGGGGGGGGGGGTAGAAGAGATGCCTGGAAGAAACTCTGCACACATAAACATGGGGCAGGCGAAGTTCATCTGTTTCAGGGACCTCGGCAGCACTATGCCCAGACGCCTTTGTTTTTTCTAATGTGAGTTCAATCTTCTTAAACCCAGATTCGAACTCGCTAACTATACTGGCAGTATAGCTCTCTACTGCCACATTTATTAATTAATACAAGCTAATTATCAAATAAAACAAGGTTTTTTTTCAAAGAAAAAATCTGGTAGGTGTTGGAAGACTCTTTGGAGTTACAACGTTATCTCAATTAATTACACATTACTCTCTACACTCTCTATTCTTCTTAATTGTTTGTTTATCTCTTGTCTTCCGTCTTCCTCCGTAAGCACTGGCAATGTCTATCTCCTTCTTGTTGAAACTTATCCGGTACCCCCCCCCCCTCCCCTAATACAACTAGAGTTGTATATATCTCGCTACAGCAAAGAGAATCCGCCACTACTCTTCCCATCCCCACCACAGCCCCCCCCCCCCCCTCACACATACATAATAACCTTACAATTCACTAAATTTTGACTTGATGATATGCCCAATCAAGTATCAGAACGTTAACTTAAAAGGTTTCAGAGCTTATCACCAGAGATAAGGACATCTGTAACGAAATATTTCAACCGATGAAAGACGCCTATCAACTGTACTTGACCACTCCCAATAGCCAACACCTATTTCTGATAACAAAATTCCACTTTGCCCCCTCCCCTCTATTGACCACATGCATGTTTCTCGTTTCCCTCGACGCTAGCCTCCGGCGAGATGAAAGAAAACCTCAGCTCCTCCTATCAGCGTGAAGTGGTAGACATACCCAGAGCTCAGGGGGAAGGGGGGGGGGGGGTTATGGAAGGTAGACAAATCACCCCCCGAGGTGATAACACCTGACAATAATACACCTGGATCAGAGCCCCCCACAAATGAAGGGTTGAATAGCAAACATGGGGGCTGAAGTGGTCTAATAACCCTCCCCCATCCCGGGGCATCCTTCCTTCTGTATACACTCGACATAATACTTAAGCAAATAGGGGGGGGGAGGAACTCCACTTAAACCACGCCTTTCAGTAAGTATTGCTCACGTGCTACAGAAATATGTTTTTATTTTACTTATCCAACCCCGTTAATAATTTCCAGATCTTATAGTGACAAAATTCGATCATTGTTTAGCCTACACAAATTTAAAACATGAAAACACACAAAAAAATTCGTGATTATCCAAGGGGAAAAACTCAATTCATATTATTTAAAGCAAAAGAATAAATGCAGTTTTTTCCCTTTGTTTGACCGATGTGCCTCAAACCTTTAGCAAAAAAAAAAAAAAAAACAACAATACCGGCATTTGACTATAAAAAGCTAATTTACAGCTGATTTTATTGACAGTGGTGATTAACATGCATTACAATTGTTACCACGTTACCGGTCAACACACGGCCATTTTATATTTTTGTAATTTCAAATTATGTTTAATTAAACGAAAAAAAACCCAACATCATTACAAAAATTGATTATTTCGAATTTAGCTAACTAATGATTTATTTAATTTACCCTTTTAATAAGGCGGCTGGTTTTTGCTACATTTTCTAAAATATAATGACTAATTATAATAATTGTTTGCAAATTGGCGACAAATCGTCTAAAAAGCCCATCATTTTTATTTTTTTTACTTTTCTATCTTTAGGCCTATTCTATAAATGTTTCTATTAATACTTTTACAAATGAAAATATTTAATAATAACGAAAGCTAACATTTTAATTTCAAACAATAAAAATAGTTTCTGACCAAGCGCTAAGTTTAAAAAAAAGTTTTTCCATGTTCGTCCGTAGTGTTTTTTTTAAAAATAATAGACCTAAATTAAAAATACCTGTTTCATAATACTGGCAGTTAGAAATAAAGTAAATTAAATACCATAGGCGGACATATTTCTGCCTAAGATTTTAATACAACAAGTTGAATATTTAAAAATGTACTAAAACTATTATTCTCCCCCCCCCCCCCCCTCCCTTTTTAAAAAAAAAAAAAACTTTTAAAAATGTCCACATCAAATTTATTTTATTTCAATTTTAAAAATAGCTACGCATAAAAAACATTCTAATCTAAAATCTAATTTTATTTAAAATACCATCTAACGCATATAAATACATTTCTTTCCTTTCAGTTAATTCTTTTAGAGTTAGAAAAAAATTTAACTACTTTGTAAATTAAAAAAATAAAAAGTCCTTCCATTAGTCTAATCAGACCGACGACGGGCCTTGAAGCTACTTGCCTGTGCTGCATTGATTCATCATAGCCAGTTGTAGCCTGGTAGCCGGGATGTGCGGTTGTTTATTTTTGTTGTGTGAAAACAGATGTCCACAGTCCACCCCACCACCCCCACCACCTCTTACAACAACGACATTCTTTGTCCACTTAAAAATCTTCACCGGCAGACGTGGGAATCGTAGCTCTGGTTTTCATTGGCTGAAAAAATTACGCATGCGCGACGACTCCTCGTTCGAGTAGCAAACAAAACACAGGTGCACCGAAGACTGGTAGGTAAACACGTTTGTCTACCTTTACTTCACTTACACGGATTTAATTAGATCACTTAAAAGGGATACATTTGTGATTTTAGTGTTTAGTTGTGGATTAATTCTTGTGGATTACTTATTTTTCGCTCTGTTCGCGGATCACCTGTCGGAGAAAAAAATTGTGCTAGTTTTTTTTCTTTCTTGGTCCACAATTCTCTTGTTTGAGGAAACAGCTTCTTTCATTCTCGTGTCGCTGTGTCAGCCAGATACCGAGGACTGTGTCGTGTGCTTTTTTTTTTCTAATGTCACCGCTCCTAGTTTCACCTTAGTGGTGAAGATTGTGTTTCAATGGGAAAAGATTTGGATATTCTTCAGGCTGTGAAAGACAATGACCAGGCGAGTTTACAAAAGCTGTTGCAAAAGGCCTCGAAGCAGGCGAAAAACAGTAAGTTTGTTTTGATTTGATAGCCTATAAATTAAAATTATAATTAGGTCTATAGGGCCTAATCTGGCCTAAAATCTAGTCAGATTTTAAATTATGGCTGTTTTAATAAGTTTTAGATAGATTAGACCAATCAGTAAAAAGTTCTTTAATTTAATTATAGGCCCTACTTAGAGGTCTACAGTTACTGCTCTATTTTTTTTTAGTTCTAGGAGGCCTAAATACTAAGTGCCCCAACTAGTATTGTGTAATTAAAGCCTAGAATCGGCCTAGCCATATCTCTAATTTAATTAGTAGGCCCAAAAATGTATGAAGCTAGTATTAAAACCAGTAGTCCTATAGGACATACACAAGTTTTAAGTCGTATTTTTATGGATAAACCTTTATTTAGACTATGTCACTATATGCCTAATCTATAACTATATACCTAGTATATTTTTAATTGTTTTATATTCATGCTAAATTTTGAACCCCGCAAATTATTTTTAAAGTTACAGTTTAGTTGTATGCCTATAATATCGAATATGTTGATGTAATGCAAAACATTGTCAACATATAGTTCAACGAAGGCCTGCATTATAATGTTAAAAAATGTTATAGAACTGGGCCTAATTACTTGAATTAGCTTACATTAAACATCAGTCATCATGACATTAGGCATATTTGTAAATATAGGCCTATCATCTGCTGATTCAATCTTTCAATCAACTTTTACTAATTTTTATTTTTACCATACCTGCACATAGAGACTAAAAATAAAGAACACTAGTAAGAAAACCAATAAATCAATTTTCTATCCTCTTCCCATGACTAACTGTAAGTTAAATTTAGCACATATCAGATGTTATCGTGACGAAATAAAGCTGTTGTCTTTCCTCTATGCAGACATAATAATTGTTGTGTTAAGCTTATTGATCATCTAACCTGTACAATGTTTATGTTTTCGATAGAAAAAAAAAGAATGCTATAGGCCTAATTAATACACATTCTAATATATATTCGTGTATCGTATTCTGGCTAAATCTTGTTAGTCACCACCCCCCCCCCCCCCCTCTCAAGGTCTCTTTATCCAAAACTATCCGGGCCTGCTTCAAATGCGTCACCTCCCCTTTTGTGACTAATCTTGTTTTGAAAAGAAGAAAAATCCGACTCAGCATCTGTTTGATGGCTTCGCGTGTCGTGTCATCATTCTATGTGTGTGTGATGTCATCATTCCGCGTGTGACCTCATCTCGCGCGCTGGTAAACATACGGCACTCTCTTCACTTGTGTACTCTCTAAGCCGCGTCGTTTGAAGTGTAAACAAAGTTTTAAATAACAAAATCTAAACCTGTTTTACAGGATATTGATAATTTTTTTTTGAGCTGCCTGAAATAAATCAAAACCAACAACATAGTCCAGACAATTGATTTGCTGATAATCAAAATTCAGATTGTATAGCTAAGCCATCTGTTTTAGAGTTTATAGCAAACATCAAATCGATATAATAGATTAATATGAACTTATGGTATGGTACGTCTAAGCCAAGTGTACGTCGTTTAATCAATACGTCCAGTACTAATAGCACTGACCTTATTTATTTATTTAGGACATTTTTTTGCTGGACAAAAGATGGACACAACGTGTTGCTTGACCTTTATAATGGTCAATATAACCCTGGCGATGGTCAACTATATGATAGAAGTCTGAATCGACCTGTACCTGTGCTAGTTTGTATGCATGTGTGCCGGCATTGTGGTTTTTCTTTCAGGCATCTCTGTTACGTTACGTTTGCCTGTCGTCCCTACTGGGACATAGACCGCTGACAAAAGCTTTCCAGACGTCTCTGTCCAGGGCTAGTCTCTCCCATCTCTGTTGGAGAACAAAATTCTGAAAGAAACTCTGAGTGTGTTGCTTCTCTTATGTCGGGATTGTAATGTGGTCGAGATTTGAATTGTGAGAACTTTGTTTATATTTTAGAATTAAATTGAAACTGTGTTTTATTATAATGCATGTTCGCCTCGATAACCCGAAAGTCCCGAGTTTATTGCCATTAACCATTCCCTAGGACGTCTTACGGTGTGTAACATTTGCAGTATTTTATCGGGGTTCATGCGGCCTGCTGATATCAAGGAGGTCTTGGAAAACTCATGACGTTTTTTAAAATTGTAAAAAATAAAATAAAATGTATGTTTTACCGCTGTGATTACACATGAAGATAAAACTATAAATTATATTTTTTCTTCTAACTTTCACTCATTGTTATCATAAAGTTATAGACTCACCGAGACCTGTTTTAGAATCAATCTGTTGTCCGCCTTTTAAAATTTGCCTCGAGTATCATTTTATCTAGTACACTCTCGTCATAAGGACACCAGAAACTTTAAACTAACCTTAATTAATTAAAAAAAAATCCGCTACGTGTAATTTATTTTAAGACTTTAAACTCAAAGACTTATCACATCCGGATAAGTTTCGTTTTTTAGGTCTCTTAACGTTTTCCCGTACCGTCAATTCACCGGCGCTCAGGCCGGCAATTAACCGGAATTTTTTTTTTTCTCTGTTTATCTCAAGACGTGAAGTTATACACGCGGACAGACAATGTGCAGACGTTAACCTTTGGTCTAATTAGATGACCTTTTAACGGGGATTCCCTGTAGTATTAATGACGCAGGAATAGTGTATACTTGTTGGTTAGACTCTACGGATGTTGTATGTCATTTGATATACGGTTGTTGGATGCATGCCGATAAAACATATGTCCTGTGCAGCTTCCTTTACAACAACCTAGCTGATTTTAGACATAACTTCTTGAGTATAGGTGGTTTGAAAACCTTAAAAAATACCGTATACTTTTTAAAACAACCCACCCCAGTTAACGTTTTAGTCATGCTGTCTTCATAGTGCTAGTCATGCTGTCTTCATAGCCCTAGATCTTGTCCTTGAAGCCCGGTATTGCCCTTATAGTCGTGTGCTGCCCTTATAGTCGTGTGTTGCCCTTAAAGCCCGGTATTGCCCTTATAGTCGTGTGTTGCCCTTCAAGTGTGTGTTTGTGTTCCTGAGTGTCTGCCGCGTACTCGTGTTGTAGTGGGGTCAGTTGTCTAAGTTCTAGTCTCCCAACGCCTATCAGTCATGTCAGTTGCCTGATTACTTTTTTGCCTTCCCTTCCCTAATGCTGCGACATTGGTCAGAGGCTACGCTTCTTCAGCTACCTCTGCCCACAGTTCAAATCCTCGGCCATGTCATTCCAGCATTCCTTATTTTCCTTCTCGACATCTTCCATTTTTTTTTTTAATTCAATTACTTTTATTACTTACCTAGATGTGTCGTTGTGTGGTTGCTAAAAGTTTGTGTTTAACCTACCCACACTTTTTCTTGTTTGCTGATCTCCCCGAGGCGCCTCATTAATTATTTCTGCGCCTCTTCCATTAGGACCCACGACAAAAAGGGCCAAAGTATAAATCTACGTAGTTGTCCAGTTTTTAAAAGTACGTTAAATAAATATTTCGTGTGGGCAACGGCGGGTGTGTCGGAAAATCCCCCTTCTAGAACCCCCTGAGTCATTTTAATTTTATTCTATTCAAGTAAGCCACGAGTAAGAAAACTCGTGGTGTTCTGTAATTGATGTTATCAGCGTAAAGCACACTCGAGACATACCTTTACCGACGGCTTACGAGACTTATGGCGAGGTCGATTTGATCTGGTGAATAGAAATTCCTTAAGCTTTGATAATACTAGAGGTCACGCTGGTTTTTCTCCCCTTCTTCTCTCTCTCTGACGACAGGATAATACAGATAATGCTATTGAGAAACCTGCAGTAGGTAATTAACGAGGATTAATTGATCCGAGGGCGGTGTCTGAGAATGCCAGAGTTGAAAAACTTGCCCGCGGCCCTCGGCTTTTGCTTGTCCTACACGTTTTATCCTCCATGTTCGTTGGTCGAGGGAATAAATCACACGAGTTTTTTTGTCCTGTTAAACACGTCACTGTGCTTTCAACAAAGAGGTCGTTTTGAGGTTAATAAGGTGTAGACAACAACTCCCATGGTGGCGCCCCACCCCTTCTCATAACGACAAGAGATTTGACTCAGACCATATACTTGAACTGATTAGATAATGCATTAACGCAAATATATGCCTGTTGTTACTTATTTCCTGTTAGATCAATATGTTTTAATTTTAGGTTTAAAAAAAAAACAACTAAATTGTTATTTGGCTGTTTATTTATTTATGTAACACCCTAGCTGATTGCCTAGATCTACCCGATGTCACACGATTCACACACTATGCTGTCCAAGGCTACTTCAATCTAAACTCAAGTTTCATGTGTTGGTTGTCCAGTCGACATTATTTCCGTGGTCAGCATATGTAGCCCAGTCGTCTATCAATCAATAAAAAAGAAATGTAGTTCAAATTATTCTCTCTTACGCGTGTCTATCAAAACCCCTTATCAAATGGGGGAATAGCGAATAATAAAAACTTCGGGGTGGCGTAGCAAATCATTTCACCAAGTATGTGCAGGTATGAAACGTTGACATTCTTAACTAACGACATGTATTTTTGTGGAATGATAGATAGTGTGTACACCCAACAACTCGCGATAGCGTTAACTATGTTGAGATTTTTTTTTATTGTACATGTGTGTACACACGATCTACCGCCGTTGGTGTGCTCCATGCCACTCAGACGGCGTGTTGGACGCCCTCGTTGTGTTCTCGGCTTATTGATGTCACGTTCCCCTTTTTCCTTTGTTGTCCCTGAAACATGATAATCAAATTATTTTGTACGCTGGGGGTGTGGGGGGAGCAGGTGAACGCAGGCCATGCTGTTTCACAATGCTGAACTAGGCCTGGCTAACCTTGAAGATCAGATAATGTCCAGTTTCCTTTTGTGTACAAAATAGAGTACCCGTCGGCTTTATTCGGTCTAGCTGGTTATGGAATAAATATTGAAATTGTTAGGAACGGTCGGGTACGATAGGGATAGCGGCTGTTCATTTTTATGAGTGGTCGGTCATTCTAGTCCG